GCCACATTTGCAGCAACTGTGCCACTCGAAGCCACACCACTCTTTCCGCTCAATAAACAATAGAGTGCTCAGTAAAAATATATATATATATTTATAGAAAAAAAAGGCATAGCCTAAATAAATATTAGTTATCCGAACTGAACTATGCAGGTGATTGGCGCAGCTGTCATTGCCAATCAGGGACACACGGTGTGTGTGTCCAGCAGCTTGACTCCTGCTCTTGAAGCCGTTTCTTTGGTTAGTTGGCGAGTGATTTTCCAATAAACTGAAATTGCATTTCATGATGCCAGGATATGTTTTTTATTTGTGCCATTTTTTTATTTTTTTTTTTTTTCAATCGAAACTCTTTCATTTGCTCATTTTTTATTTTTCCAGTTTTTGCTGCGTCGCTTATAGAAAATTGAATAAAAGTGCTGCTGGCATAACGACAAACTGTGCGCTGAATGAGCGCGTGATTGCATGACGGTGCTGCACATCATGGCAGGACGATGAGAAGGAAGTGATTAGTGCTGGACCGTTGGGGAGCGCTTCGTGAACATATCAGTGTGTGTGTGTGTGTGCCTGTGTGTGTTCGTGTAGCCTGTCTCAGTGTAACAAAAGCAAACACACTCAAAGCACAGCACACAATGTCAGTTTGTAATGTTTCCGATTTAAAGCAATGCTTCGATTTTACTGTGCCCTCGTTTAACACACGGCAGATATTTTTATTTACAATTTGTATCAAACAACATTAAAAAATAGTCAAAAAAAAAAATAAATAAATAAAACGAGTTAATAAAAATTGCACATCAGCATGCATACGACCAAGATTAAGGAGGGCGATGAGCGGGTAAGCATATGGATGCCGCCATATGGAGGCGCCATTAAAAATGGTCAACTAATATCTCTGGACCTCGCCCACCCCCCTCATCACGTTCCCGCAAAACAATGCAGGAGGAGATGGAGCTGAATCAAATTTGGCGCGCCTGTCGTAAAATCCAAGGCGCAATTTTTCGTTATAACTTTGACATCTGTGCTGATTTAAAGCAACATGATCCCGACTGCACCGGCTACGTTTCGGGTGAGCGCCTGTCCTCGGTCACATTTCAATGCAGTCACCGCATTTTTTATGTCCGTTTTATGACACCAACCAGAGTCTATATTCACATCGGTGCTGGGCAAGTATCGCAAGATGGTCGGCCTGTCTGAGTTTGAGCTGAGGGATGTCAGCGATTATTTTCAGATACGCGATGGACGCGTCGCCTATCGCCAGTTCTGCAAGGTGGTCTGCAACGAGAGTGAGTTAATATTGGGTTACATTAGAAACGGCTACACAAGACTCACGCATCCCCATAGATCTTCATAAGAGCGCCGATAAGGAGCTGGCTAGTGGTCTGGAGTGGAATGATCCCTACCACTTGAATCTTATACCACAACCGGAAGACCGTCGAAAACTATGCTTGATTCTTTTCAAAATAGCCAAAGAAACACACTTGCCACTGATGCCCTACTTTCAAGACTATGAGCTGGTGAGTTATTATCGAAGATTATCAATTTAATACTGGGCTTTAATTAAGCTTTAGCGCATACTAATACACTTACACATAAACTTGACAATGGATTAACATACTTTTCTATGCTTAACGCGTTAAAATTCGCAACAAGTTTCAGCCTAGACCGAAACTTAAAGTTAAGACCAAAGTCTGGAGCTAAAAATCATTTTACAAAAACTTATTTATAGATATCGCAAAATGTGGGCGTTGTCACCGTATCGCACTTCTCACGCGTGCTGCATTTTATGAAGATACCCTTATCGGAATCAGATTTTCTGCTATTGCTCAAACGCTACATGAAGGACGGCTATTTGGTTAACTATGTGGCCTTTCTCAAGCACATTGACAATATCATCGACTATTTGCGGCAACACAACCTATTGGATAACTCGGGAGTAAGCGCGAATTAATTTCTATATTTTATACCCTTGTAGATGATATTACCATTTCGTCGTACAATGTGTAATGCATGGAAGCAGACAACTCCGACGCCATAAAGTGTATGTTCTAGATCTGTATAATTAGCCGAGTTGATATGGCCATATCCGTCTCTCCGTCTGTCTGATTATATGCGAACTCTTCTCTCTTTAAGCCAGATATTTTGATCAATCGGCATTTATTAGTTTTACTATGCTTCCTACATATGCAAAAGGTCTTAACCAAAATCGAAGCACTATATCATAGGAACTAACCAATCGAAAAGTAGGTTCTTGTATATTTCGGGTCTTCTGTTTTCCAAAATATTTGAATCAAAGTCAGCATTGACGAGCTTCACAACTGCAAGTCCGTGAGGGTATTAAATCTTCGGCGTGCCGAATATAACCTTAACTTCTTGTTTTTTCTTAGGATCTCATTCACAACTTTCCGGGCCGCCTGGTAGATCTGGAGCTCTCTCAGCTGCCACCGATAAATGGCTGTCAAATAGTACAGCCCATATTTCCGGATGCTTGCAATCATCCGAAAAAGAATCGCGGAGAATGCGATATTGTGTTTTGCATTCAGAACTATATCTATAAGAATCGGGTGCGCACCTGTGAGTTTCTAGAAAAATTCGATTCGCTGCAGGTAGGCAGCATAACAAAGAATCAGTTTGAACGCGGCCTATCTAACATGGGCGTGGGCAAATATCTGTCGAGACGCGAATTGGATTTATTGGCGAATCGCTATTTGGACCCAATGGACACAAATCGCGTGCGTTGGCGCAATTTTGTGGATGAAATCGACACGGGTAGGGAAATGCTGACATATATGCCCTTGGCAATCTCTAAGATAAGTATATTCTTTGCTTAGTTTTCACCATTAAAAATCTGGACAAAATGCCGCAATGCGTGGTTGAGTCACCTCTGGTGCACATTAAGGAGCTGCCCCGGCCGGGCACGTTGGACTGGCAGGCGGCACCGGTGGATGTGCGCGAGCTGTGCGAGGAAGCCATGGCTAAAATACGTCTACGCATACGCAATCGTCGCCTCTACCTGCATCCGTTCTTCCGCAACTATGACAAGTGGGTACCGGAGCAATCTTAATAATGTAACTAACTTCTATCGACGGCTTCCTCTCTCTCTCTCTCTCTCTTTCTCTGGCAGACTGCACAGTGGACATGTAAACTGTCACCAGGCGAATCAAATCTTTCGCATTAATGGTATACTGCTGTCGAATCCTGAGCTCGATGCTGTGCTGCATCGCTATGGCAATGAGCTTGGCTTTTACTATACGAAATTCTTGGATGATGTCGATCCGGTAGAGTATGCCATGCCCAGCATGATAGGCAAACAGGATCTACAGGAATGTCCGCCCTTCCCGCGCGACAATGGGGCAACAGAGCAGGCCACCGAGGAGGTCATCACGCGCATTCTGACCAGTGCCAAGCGACAGGCAATTACCAAGGGTGTCTCTGTCATTGACTTTCTGGCGGACTACGATCGTCATCGCGAGGGTCAGATATTGGAGAGCGACTTTAAGCGCGCCCTGGACAATGCCATGGTTATTCTCAGTGATGAGGATGCGACCATTTTGTGCAATGTGTAAGTCATCTCCATGCCGCCGAGTTGACCAGCCCTAATTCATTTCATTTCGATCAGCTTTCGATCGCCCAGTCGCAGTGCTTGCGTTCTTTATCGCGACTTTTGCAAGGCACTCGATGAGATCTTTATGCAGTTCGATACAAATATGGGTGACAATGTGGTCACGGCTGTGCCACTGCTGCATCTACCGAATTTGGACTGTGTCGATTGCTTCCTTAACTTTGATGAGCGCACCCTCTGCTCGCAGGCACTGATGAAGCTTGCCCGCCGCCCGGACGAGATCTCCAATCTCAGCCAGGTGTTCAAGGACTTTGATCGACAGCATTGCGGTTCGGTTACCCAGAATCAATTCCTGCGCGCCATCACCCTGCGCGAAATGCATAATATGCTGAGCAGTCGCGAGTTCGAGGCCATTGTAAAATGTTTTGGCGTCAAGCGTGGACTCTGTTTGGAGGTTAACTATCGCGAGTTCCTCAATATATTGGACGTGCTCTTCTCCACTGGGCAGATGAAACGTAACTATTAGAACAATCCCAAATGTATACTGTATAGTACATACAAATTTCGCATATACGTGTAGCTTACTTTCGACATTAAAAATTTCCCATGTGCGTTTGTATAAATGAAAATGCTTCATTTTATGTGTCTTTTTTTTTTAAATGTTTTAATTGAAACTTTCTGCTTGAATTTTCCGGTTCATTTAAATGAAAAGTGAACATCATATATATTCAATTAAAGAATGTACTATATCTATAATTATGTGTGAAATGGAAACATATGCTTTGTTCGCTTTATAACTTGAGGCTTACGGCTGACTGGAGGAGCTGCTGCTTAATAGAGCAGCACATGTACAAATATTTGAAATAGAATGCAAATCTGAAATTCTACTGCGCTAGTTAATAAACTTTTGCCTGCAAATTATGCGGCTAACTAAACACATTCGTTGCGTGAAAAACATTTGCCCACGACTATATCAATTGTGTCCCACTCTTCTCTATATTCTCTTTTAAAAGTCGGACGTATCTTTAGCGTAACATTTGTTCAATAAATTTTCTTGTTTTAAATAGCTATAGTTATATGTATATAGTTTTATGTAGATAATATTTTATATATATGTATATATATATATATATATATATATATATGCCTATTTACTTTTAACAAATATTCTTGCAATAGTCTCGTTGAAAACTATACATTGGGTAGTTCAGTTTGGATTTTCATATTATTATTATAGAGCTTGATGCAAGTTTTTTTTAGAGTTCTTTACTTTATTCTTGTCATGCTGCATTAGATTTTTATTAAAATATAAAATTCTCTTATTTTTTTTTAAATATGTATACATATATATATATTTTGTTTGTTTCATATAAAGATATATATATTTATATATATATATATATGTATGTATGACTATTAATGAGCGCAAATACATACACGAAAAACGTTTACCAGTTATATCGGAAAAATCATTTGTTATTTGTAATTTGGTGGATTTGTTGTTTGTTGTAGTTTCAAGCGGACTTGGACAATGCGAAACGTTTGCCATTATGGTGCATCCGCTTTAAAAAAGATAGCCCGCCCGCACCGCAGGAGCGCCAGCTGCCTAGCGTTGCATTATGATAATTATGCATTACATATTACAGTTATTAATTAATTAAGTTTAAACAAATACTTAACGACTATTGTATTTTATATAATGTATTTACTGTTACTATTAAACTGTGTTGCCGTTTTATCTGTATTTCGTATGTGTATGTGTGAGTGTGTGTGTGTGTCTCTTAATGTTTGTATTCATGCGTGTGTGAGTGTGTGTGTGTGTATGTTGTGTGTGTGTATGTTGTGTGTGGGTATATCTCCTGTATGCCTGACCCTGCTTACAAGTTAAACAATTACCTCGCATAATGTATGAGACTACATTAGAAAAAAAAACAAATTAGTTTAGCCCCACACATACACACACACACACACACATGCGCGCACACACAAAGTGAGTGTAGCATAATATTGTGGTACTGTGTGGGGTTTCTGTTGGTGGGCAATGCTGGCTTAACGAGCGTGTGGCTATGAAAAATTAGCCACTTGCTAAAAAAAATTACATTTCTCCAAGCCTAACTCTCTATCCTGTATATATTTCTTTCCCTCTCTCTCTCTCTCTCTCTCTCTTTGTGTGTGTTAGTGTATATATATTTATATATATATAAAAGATGCGTTGTTTCTTGGCCAGGTTGTAGTTGCCGCTTCCGCTGTGGTGTTGGTTGTTGTTTTTGTTGTTGTTGTTGGAATGGTGCCACACAACAAGTGTGTATTGTGGTTGTATATCTGCGCCGCTAGACTTGCCATGAGAATATGAGGTCTGCCCTGCAGTCGCTTTATAGGCGTTGTTGTGTGTGTCTGTGTGTGTGAGTGGATGTAGGTGTCTGTGTCTGTGTGGATTTGTAGTATGCTGTTCAAATGAAATACAATTACATTGAGTTTGACAAAAAAATAAACCTTAACACGACTGCCAATCACCACAAATCGAAGGGCAATCGTGCTAACTGCATGTTTTACATTCTTACCATAACAAACTAAACTAAGTTAAATTCAAATAGTTTGCAGTTATAAGTAGATGTGTTCGGACTCCAAAACGGCCCCCGCCTAGTAGGGCTGGTGTCGTGGCTGGCGTCCAGTGCCGCGTTGTTTGCCACCATTAAATCCGCCGCCGCCGCCGCCTGTTTTAAGAGATGAACATGAGAGATTAGGACTTCAATTAGCAAATGGAATGTATGTAAAAGCATGCACAGCTGCTGGGAAATTTATCTCATTTTTTATTGTTTTTGGTTTTTTTTTTTTTTAAGGATTTACTACAACGCCAAACGATTCAAGCGACTGATGAAAATTTTGACCAAATCTAAGGATAAAAAATGTTCAGTAACATAATTTGGGCTCCTAATATGGAGGATGCTCAAAATAAAAGACAAGAAAAGATTAGTTAAATTACAAAATCAAATGCTCAGTTAAAATAGTTACAGAGATTGGATAGTAAATAGAAGTAAAAATGGTTTTGGGAGAAAAAGAATTAACTTGTAGGCTATTTTTTTTTTTAATTCTTTTAACGGCCATGTGTTGTGTATACCTTTGGGACCGCCGCGCGGACCTCCGGCACCGCGCCCGCCAGCGCCGCCGCCGCTGCCGTAGCCATTACCGCCAAAGCCACCATCAAAGCCGCCGCCATAACCATAGTCTTTGTTTAGAGTCAGTTTTTTTTTTTTGTTTGTTTGTTTTTTTTTTTAAAGGTTTAAACACAAAAATTTGTTGTAGATCATGAGCACAAACTAGGCTTAGATTAGGAAATTTAATTGTATAATTATGTATGTAAATAACTATTAATGTCTTTTTAGCTTGGTTTTGGTCAAAATTTTTCTTTTTTCTTTTTTATATATATATTGATTGGTTTTTGGGACGAGAAAGGGAAAAGGCGGCGACGCCGCGCCGAGGGGAGACAATTCAAATGCACACCAGAGAGCTGGAAAAGGAACTCCACTGAAAACACACAATTTTATTCGGTTTTTTTTTTATAGGTTTTTTCTTTTATTTGCTCATTTCTAGATTTGCGAATTTTGATTATAAGATTGATTGGCTGTTAAATGATTGCTACTGTAGATCAATGTACAAAATGATCTAAACTTGTTTGTTGTTCTTGCTGCTGCTGCTTGCTGCTTGCTGCTGCTTGCTGCTGCTGCTGCTGTTGTTGTTGTTGTTGATGCTGCTGATGTTGTTCTTGTTGTTGTCAGTTGTTGTTGCTTACTTTTGCACAGGCATTACAAAATTGTTCATTTTGTCTGTTGTTACACAATAAAAATTAAAAACACATTTCTGTCTCATTGTCGTTTATCTTCTTCTAAACTTTCTCTCGAGTGGAGAAAAAAAACAGGCGCAAAACGGCGCTCACACATACATGCGCGATTCGGTTTGTTGTTTTTGTTTTTTTTTTTTTGCTTTTTGGTCTGGTAATTTCAGATGTTGTTGTATCTCTTAAATTGCTGTTGTCTCTGGATATTTGTTAGTTAGTTGTTCACTCTCGACTTATAAACATGTTTCACAATGTATTGCAATTCATATCTCATTTAGTTTCTCAGTTTGACGCACTCTTTATGCATTTTATGTTCTAATTTTTACCTCATTTTCCACACAACAAATTCAGCATTTCAATTTTAAGTTAATTTTTCGTTTTTATGTATATTTTTTCTTTCAAAAAACAATTTTGTTTCATCTTAATGGCCAAAAAATGAAGAAATCTGCTGCTCTTGTGTGTGTGTGTTTGAATGTCTCACCTCAGCAAAAAGTAATCAAATTTATATTTTTTTATATTTTATAGTATTTTCTCTTTTCAAGGGGATATGGGAGTCGGATTCGGGGGAAGTTCGTGTTGGGTGAGGGGCGGCTTGTCGCAAAATTTTAGTATTATCAAAAACGTCTTGCGAAAAAAACAAAAACAAATGCAAATTGTCAGCAAATTTGACTTTATACGAGTTAATATCGGTATTATTATAATTTACTCATGTGTTGTTGTATTTTGTTGTTAAAAACAAGAAAACTGTTTATATCTTAAAAGATTTGCTTCAGAAAACTTTTTTTCAAGTATCGTTAAAATTACTTTAAGTGTACTTTTTTTTTTAGATTTTTCAATTCATTTGACTAAAAACAGATATTAATTACGCTAAATTACTTTTTAATATATAACCTTTAAATTTAATAAAAAGGAGTAAAAAAAAAGAAAAATACGTTACATTAAAGCGAAATGAAATTATTGTTGATTTGTGTAGTCGTTGCTGGTACTTGGGTTGTTGGATATCTATGTCTGTGTTGTGGAATTGCTAGATATTTGCGTCGCACAGACAACATCAGACACCCGTAACCGACCGGCAATCGTTACGAATTAGAATTGGTCAAGACAAATTGCGCGGTTGACTTGCGATCATTTTGGATATTTGCTTGGGTGGTTATGTTTTGAATTTTACTCTCATTTAGTTTTTTTTTTTTTTTCATTTTTCTCTTTTTTTTGTGAGGCGAAACATCGGAAAATTCGGCATTACAATAAGTATATATATATCCATAAATGTAAATATAACACGTATTTTCAAAAATCATAATAAAAATGTAACAATATTTAGGAGTTAATAAAAATAGTACATATTGTAAACGGTAAACTTTAAAAACTGTCTCTGGGGCCCATAACATTGCCAACTGCTATGTTAACTTTGCTTTAACAGCATGCGTACTGTTAACTTATGTGGCTATAACAGTGTTATGTATTGTTAACAGCGCTCGCACTCTGTTATGGCTCCCATTGACATGTTGTGTTGTTGGTGTTGGTGATAGTTGGTTAGTTGGTTTATAAAGTTCAGAAATTATAAAAAGAAAATTATGAATATATTGAGGTTATAGTTTTAATATAAATTGGGCACAAAATTATTGCTATAAAATATACAAAAAGTATTTTGTTTGTGTAAAAAAAAAAGTTGTTTGCACATTAAAACATTGTTGTCGTTATGAATCAGCATAAATTGTATATAAAATATAGCATAAATATAAATTTGTAAGACAATTGTGGTAATATATATATATTATTTTTTTTGTTTAATTTTTAAATGTTTTTTTTTTTTTTTTTTGTATATAGACAACTAGCTAAAAACATTGAGAAACATGCAAATTTTAAATAATTTACTCAAGTTAATGCATATCTTATTTTTTGTTTTTTATGGTTTTTTTTTTCTATATAAAATTTATGTATAAATATGTATACATTTGATTGCGATACGTCAAATTGTTGGTTTATATTGACAAAAATGTTAAAGTTGATTTGGGCATTCAAAATTTTAACATAAGAGATATATGTAAATATTTATGTGTATGTATGTGTGCTTATTTAAAGCAATATATGCATGTATTAATGTGAGTTTATTGTACTTAATACTTTAAAAAAAAAGAACAATAGGAAATATTATTTATATAAATTTATTAATTAAAATTACTAAAATTGACGAAGTGTGTTTTTACTCTTTTTGTATTTTTTTTCTTTTACTTGATGTAATTAGTGTTGTTGTTGTTTTTGTCGTTATCGTTAAGTTTGTTTGTAATTGTTGTTGTTGTCACTCGAGTTGTTGCTGTTATTATTGTTGTTGTTGTTCTTTGTTGTCAACGTACGAACGTGCAAAATGCCGCATTGCGCGTGCGTTTCATTTATAATCAAGTGCATAAATTGTATGTGTTGATTTATAAGTTGTAAGTTTACTTTTGCGAAATTGTAATTTCCTCTCTTATTCTTGGACTCGTTCTTTTTTGTCAGCAAAATGCATATTTGGTCAAGAAAGCAAAACAGAAATGCAAATAAAAGAATGAATGGCCGCCACATTAAGGGGCCAGAAAATGGCAGTAAATGCAAATTGTGGGCGTTGGACTAAGTTTAACGGATTGATTTAATCAACAGCTTAAGCCTGGCCACGCCCACTTCTGCGCTGAACTTTTAGTTACAAGCCCGGCCTTAAAGTGGTTGTCGTTTCGTTGCTTTTGCGTTTTGTTGTTGTTGTTGTTGTTGATGTTTATGTTGCAGTTGTAGTTATTTTTACAAAGATTTGCCTTAAAATAATACTATCAAAAATAGTATCCCATTTGTAAAAATGTTATTTTTATGCATAAATTACATACAACATTTGTATATTTTCTTTATATACATCTGATATAAATATATATATATATATAGTGTATTGACGTGCATACGAAAACATATGCATTGCAAAAACGTAGATATTATCCCGTTGCCGAAATAATAATAATATACATCTAAAAATATATTTATATGCTATATATAGGTATATATATATATATACTCTTTTTTTTAAATAGAAGTTGAATCAAAGCTTTGATTACGCGTTTCGTTTGTTTGTTATGTGTGTTTGTGTTTTTGTTTGTTTGATTGATGGTTTTAGTTTGTTTAACGTTTTGTTCAACAAAACACAAAGGAAAAACTATTTAAATAACTATTATAAAGATAACGGGGAGAATGTAGTTATGTGATCATCAGATTTACATCTATGATTGAATGTGTGTGTGTATGCGTGTGTGTGTATGTGGGTATGTGGGTGGGTGGGTGTTTGTGTGGCGTATATGTGCGTGATACCTATGAGTGTGTCAAACAGCTTTTGGTTTCAGTTGGTTTCAAACAATAACAGTTAGTTAACAATAATAAAAGGCACAAGTTGCAATTATGCAAAAGGCCAAAACGCTGGCGATTCACACTGTTTCACATAATTGGCACATGATCTTTTTTATGTGTTTTTGTTTGTTGTTTGTTGTTTGTTGTTTTGTTAAAGGTTTTGTCTGATTGCTGTTGTCGTTGTTGTTTTTCTTTCTAATTGTTGCTGCTGCCTTCGCGTTTGAGGTATTTGTCATCTTTGGAAAGTCTGTTGAAAGCGACCTCTGGCGGCCGCACACGTTATTCATCTTATTTTTTTTTTTTTCATTTTTTTTTTTTTTATTTATTTTTTATTGTTGCTCCTGTTGGTCTGGTCTGGTATACAACAAGTATAGTTAGTGTAGGTTGATAACAAACCTTTCCATCTACATTGTTTCATTTCCTTTTTTCTCTATCTCTCTAACTCTCTTTACTCTCTCACACGATCTGTCTCTCTAACTTTCGCTTTTGCTCCTTAAAAACAACACAATTATTGATACACATACTTCGTCAGTTTTATGTAATATTTAAATTCTAGACCACTAGTAAATCAAATTTGATTTTAAATTTGTTGAAAAATGTATAACTTTTCAAATGAATTCTCGTTTTAAAATTACGTTTTAAATTTTAAAAAGTTAAATATGCATTTTTAAAGATTTTAAAATTATTTGTAATATGAACTCATATATAAAATTATTGTTTTGATTGGATATAAAATTATGTTTATCAACATATATTTGCAATTTTAAAAATGACTTTAAAATTCATAAGTAAGCATTAAAAATATGTATATATTTTTTATTATTTTTTTTGTTTGTTTTAATTAAAAAGTTTTCTTGTTTTTAACGGTGTTGTTTTGTTGTTGATGTTCTTGGGTTTCTAGTTCTTATTTAGAAATGCAGCAAAACGTTTGTTTTTGTTTTTGTTTTTTTGTTTTCTCTCCGGCTTGTCTCTTTTGCTAACGGCAAACAACAATATTATATTAATATGTATGGTAGTAAAGGGAAATTTGTTTCAAAATGTTGTATAATGGCATTTTTGTTTATTGTTGTTGTGGTTGTTTGTTTGCTTTTGTTGCCTGTATTTAGCTAGATTAGAACTGCTGATAGTTGTTGCTATTGTTCTTGTTTTGATGATAATTACTTGACGTTGTGTTATTATAATAATTGTTATGAGCATTATTTTGTTGTTTGTTGTATTTACCATAACCATAGTCATATCCATTATAGTAGCCACCGGCATAGTAATCGGCAAAGCCACCGGAACCATAACCACCATAGCCGCCATAGCCCGAATACGAACCCTGGCCATCCCATTGATGGGAATAACCTATATTTGATGAGAAGGACAAATATTAATTGGTATCAAAATTAATAACTTTACGGAATAACTGACCACCACGTCCGTATCCACCGCGTCCACCTCGCATGCCACCTCGCGCACCGCCACGCATGGCCATCATTTGATTCTCCGGTTTTGGCGTTGCGCGCTTAACATCAACTTCCTTGCCAGAGATTTTCTGTTTGGGCGTTTTCAGCAAATCGGTAACCACCTGCTCTGAATCGAAGGTAATAAAACAGAAGCCCTTGCGGTGTGACTTTTGCTTGTCAAATGGCATCTCCACCTCAACAATCTGCACAGAAAAAAAAAAAGGAAAAGACATAATGGGCACAGTTCTCTTGTCGTGATTTATACCACATACATTGCCAAATTGACTGAAGTAGGTTTTGATTTCCTCATCGCTTATCTCTGTAGTCAGGCCACCCACAAATATCTTGCCATGGCGCGCCTTTGCCTTTTTGGGATCAACCTTCTTGCTGTTGATGATGTGCTCCTCAGCGGCACTCACTTGCTCAATTGCCTCTGTGTTGGTGAACACAATGAAGGCAAAGCCACGCGATCTGCCCGTTTGAGGATCTGTTTTTACATTAATGCTCTCGATCTCACCGAACTTGCCAAAATGATCGCGCAGTTCCTCTGCAAATTGGAAAAGTGAATTGTATTAAATATTGATAAAATCGTTAAATTAAATGCGAGCTACTTACTCTCAGTCGTTTCCCAACTGAGGCCGCCAACAAATAGTTTCCTGTCAAAGGTTACAGAAAATTATTGATTAGTTTTAATTATTAAATATATAAAGTGTTATAAATGATATTACAAATGCTACAAAGCAAACTCTGGTTTCATAAAGTTGGAAAAAATGGCACGACAAAAACGTTTTGTTTTTTGTTTATTTTTTATCTTATGCGTGTGGCAAATTTGTATTTGTAAATATTTAGGATTTGTTTTATGTCCACACATTTGGCGCTTACAAAAACGTTACTTTACAATTTGTCTTAAAATTACTTTTGTTATTGCTGCAAATAGATTTATGGACGGAGCAAGAATACAAAACGAAAAACAAAATAAACTCACCAAATTCAAAGTGAATATAGAGCTTATAATTACTGTACTTTAATTAATAAACTTTCAATCAAGATTCGAAATGTGCGTCGAAAAACTGAGCGAAAGATACGGCGAGGGAGTAGAGTCACAAACGAGAGAAAAATACGTATATAAATATATGCAAAAAATGAACTTTTCATTTAAGTATAAAAATATCGGTTTTTTTGTTTTTTTTTTTTTTTTTAAATACATTTTTAAAAAAATTATTGCTAAATGTTAGAAAAATGCAAGGATTTTTTAATGCTGCTTTTAGATCATTTAATTGCTTTATTTGGACTAAATTTATAAAAACTTTGTAAATTGATATACTTAAAATATTCTTGGAATACGTTACTCATAAAGATTGAATATGTCACTGCGAGGGGATAATGCAATTTTGGAACATCACGGCGGTGGAATTTAGAGTGTGGAAAAGTTAGACGGTTAGACCCGCGTGTTGGCATTTTATGAAAAGTTTTTAAACTCGTTATCGGTTGCAATTCGGTTTTTGTGGGGTCGTTTTCTTTATTGTTATCGTTATAGTTATCGTTACGTTACGTTCATCGGATGCGCTTCTTTAAGTAGGCAAAAACAAACAAAAAATGCGAGTCTCTCTTTCTCTCTGTCTTTCTTTCTCTTCAATTTTTGGTAAACAATAAATGCGTTATACGTTTTATATATATATAATATATTATATAGGATCCAATTGAGAACTCGAGATAATTTGTTGATAATTTTGTGTGTACATAGTATTGTTTTTTTTTTTATTTTATTTTGGTTAGATAAATACCATCATCAACATTGTCGGCATCCGTTGCGCTGCATCCTTTGGGTAATTTCCATTGGCCCACGGCTGCTTGAGAATAGCTTAACATGGCTTTTCACTTCTCTCAAGACCTGCCGGAGAGGAACAAGGTTAGTTCGCTCAAACACAACAGGATAAGCTATGAATTGTTTTTTTTTTTTTTTTTTTTTTGGATTTATTTTTATTTTCTTTATCGTACACGATACAATTGGCTCCATTTGCTTTACGCTGCTTCCATAAACATTTTTTAGTTTTTGAATTTTTCTGTAGAACTTTTTGACTGCGACTTAAAATTAGCTTAGAATTAATATACACACATACAATTACTCGACCTAAATTAAAAACAAATAAGATAATTGATTCAACCTGCAACATGGTAGTAATTAAAGAACTATCGATTTCTTTAAATTTAACTGAAACATAAATAAATTCATCTAATCTAGGCAAACAAACAAAAATGTAGTAGTAGTTTTTGAATTGCCTCGACAACACTGCCGGCATGGCGACGGCCTCAGCAACAGAGAGCGCGAAGCCGGCAAGCAAAACGGAATAAATGTTGAGAAAACGAAAGAAGAAAAACTACATACATACGCACGCACCGAGACGGCACTGCAAAGCAAGCACAAAAACCGCCATTTTGGGTACAAAACTGGAAGAGCACGAAAACGAACGAAAAATATCAACGAATGGCTGCACAAAAAATGCAAAAAAAAAAAAAATAAATAAAATAAAATGTACAAATACAAACAAAACTTTTTACAAGTGAAAGGCATGGTGCTGTGCGGCAAACGGGGGCTTGAAGGAGGTAGTAGCACACGCTTTGCGCTTTTCTGTGTATGCATACACACATGTACAAAAGAATATACACAAATACACCTAGGTAAAAATGTATGAATATGTGTGTGGTGGACATAACCTCACAAGTGGGGGAAATGTGCTTGAATTACCTCTGTTGCTACTGGAATTTTCGTGCTTTGTTTCAATAGCAAACGCTCAAAAATATTAATATATTAAATTCATACATACGTATAAATGCATGTACATATGTTTGTTGTAAGTATGTACACACACAGCAATGTGTACACGCATAGTTCAAAAATAAAAGCGACAGTATAGTAAAATACTTTCATATCTGTTCAACTAATATCTTGCTACAAGACGCAATCAAAAATTTTCCGACAGCTTCTATTATTATAATTATGTATGTTTAGTTGTGCTCAGACTGTTGTGCGAAGTACAGTCGCACACAGACACGCGCGCAAATACTGAAGGGGTCAGCGTCAGCGGCGCGCTAACTCCCGCCGCTGCCGCCGCTTCGTCGAACACCATTTTTTACACTCGACGACGACGTTAGCTTTGCATTTACGTAACAAAGAGTAGGTGGTAATAAAAAAAAAAATTGTAGTTAGGCACATGATTTCTATACGTTTCGGGCTGTCTGGCTATTGAATGGATTTGAAGTCATATATTTTACTTAAAATACCTGTCGTCATCACGCTGGTTACCCGCAGCAGCTGCATTTTCAGAACTGCCATTTGCAGCACCGGCAGCGGCGGTCGAATCACCATTTTCAGAGCTCGCCACATCATTGGTGGTAACATCCTTGGTGAAATCTTCGCCGTTCATTTCGCTATCGACTTGTTTGTCTGCCATTTTGATTGGTGGTGTGTGAATGTGGTTCTATTGTCAATTAAAACTTAATTAAATAGCACTATTTAGCGATTTTAGCAATCTTTTTCTTAGCACACTCGCCAAAACTCGCGCGTACGCTGACGACCGGAAAATGACAAATCCAGAGACAGCGTGTGTATATGGTAACGGCCTTGCCACTAAGTTGAAATTTTATTGGAGTTCGATACGAGAACTGTCCTTGCGATGTTTTTAATATTTCAATTCGAATTGCCTTAAACAATAAATAATTATGTTAAGTAATAATAAATGATAGTGACACTTTAATATTATTGAAATGAATTTAGTGTCGAATATTTGTCACAGAATGTAGACAGTCTGGTAACGTTCCGTGTCACCGGTTTTTAGAGAAAGGCAATTTTTGCAGCCGAATATCTCATATAGAAAATATTAAATCCAGCCATCGGTTAGTTTAAAAGTTTGTGCTTTATAAAAAGCCTCTAATTTATAATCAAGCTTTTTAAAGTTACTGATTTTTATTTTTGGTAGTTTTAGCATCTTTTCAGTATTTGGTTATGTTACGTTTGCTGTTTACGGTCACACTGGAACACACGACACCGCCGCCATCATAAAAGCGCACATACACAAACGCAAATGCACCGAGAATAAAACTGAAAAAGGGAAACGAATAAACGTCGGTTCTCTTCTCAATTCAACACTTGTTAAATTTCATTGCGTTTGCGATTCTTTTTTACATCAATTAAACAAAAACAACGCATTCAAACTTAATTATTTAACTGTGATCGCCAACATCTAAAGTAAGAAGCAAGTAATGTGCGAAAAAAATAGACAAATTTGTAACTTTTAAACTACAAAAATTGCAACAAAGCAGACGACGGCAAAGGAAGAAGAAGCAGTCTAAAGCGGCTGCTCCAAACCAACAAGCTTCGCGTGTGAGTGTGTGTGCGTGTGTGTGTGTGTGTGTTCATCCACATAAATATTAAGTTGCAGTTTAAACTGATTTTTAAAACTTAGATACATATATTTCAGCATTTCTCAAATTTCAAATTAGACCAACAACACAAATATAAAACCTGTGCGGCGGAGTAGAACAGCCACTACAAGCGACAAAAAAAAAGGCCTCATCAAAACCATAAGCAATACTATTGTGCATTAGAAACAGTCAAACAGACATCGGGCAACTGCTGTTAAGGTGAGTACAAACTGCCGGCGATGGTCGCCACATGCTGCCGCACATTTCTAGTTACGCATGGAAAGCACAAAGAAAAACAAAGAATACCAATTTTAGTTGGGGTGGCAAATAAACTGGCCAATTGACAAATAAAAAACGGTCGCGCTACAAATACAAAGCCTTTCCAGTTTTTTTACTGCCGGTTTATTCATTTACCCCTTAGCGGCATTTTATCGCTTGTGTTTGGCGACTCCTAACCTAAAAGTGTGTCTGTGCTCATTTGTTTTTGTAAGTTTGTTTAAATATCGTTTTTTTTTTTATTGCTTTCTTTGTTCCGACTCACACACGCGGTTCACGCATATAGCACACCAACACGTATTTGGCGGTGTTTTTTCTATGTGTGCGCGTTTCGTCCGCTCGTCAATTATTGGTAAGAAATCTTATGTTCTTATTTCGCGAGAACGTGTGTACTATTTCAAAAGAATATGTTTTAATCAAAATACATCGGAATTACTTAGTTCAGCGCCATGTAGTGTTTTTCGACCTATTTTATTTATTTTTTTTTTGCTGTTGGCCTTTGTTGCGAAACTGCAGCGGGCATTATAGGCGATTTTTTTTCTCGTATTTTCGTAGAGTTCAATGAAACAGATGATACCTGAGAATAACATGCACGCGCACGTGTACTAATGTGTTCACCTGAAATGTCCTAGCCTCTGCTGCGACGCAACCTTGAAGCGCAAACATAACCTAAAACTTCTTTACGCAGTTCACGTTCCCATTTCTGCGACTCTGTTGTTGTTGTTGCTGTTGCTGCTGCTACGTATGAGGTCATTTACTTTCCAACTAAATAAAATGTAGTCCTTAGATCTTTTGATGGACAATAACAAAATGGCAAATGCCCGTTAGGTAGCAATAGCAATAGAAACTAAAATAGTGGCAGAGGCTATGACAGCTGCAATTTGTCTTGTTTTGCGTTTACACCAAATTTCCCTTTATATGCATTTTTGGCGAGGCGTGTGTGTATGAGTGTGTGTATATATGTACATGTGCATGTACATTGGTGCTTGGAATGAAAGTGGGTCAAATTGCAACTGCATTGGATCTTTTTGTCCGCGCTGCAGTAAAATTTGGCTCCTTAAATGTGTTTTGTTACATTTGTTCCTTGAGTGCCTGTTTGTTTGTGCGTTAACTGTTCATTGATGCGAAATCAATCGGTGTTGCCGATCTTCGGTTACAACAATTACTGTTATTGCAGCCAAAAAAATATGCTCTTATCAACACTAGAGAATATGTATTAAAAGAAAAGAAACTAAGTGAATGTTTTTTTTGGTATATTTTTTTTTATTTGTGTTTAGTCGGCAACTGAGCAGACTTTGAATTATAAATTATAAATAATTCCCAGCTTGTTTATATATAAATTTATAAATGCATATATGTATATATATGTATATGTATATATACATATATATATAGATTGTTTTACAGACTAAATAAAAAAACCTCGGCAAGAACAGAGTAAATTCTCAATCTCACTCTCACTGGGACTAAACTTAGCCGCTTAGCCAAACGCTTGGAACTCTAGCAATGGTCATGGATGCGACTCAATCGCAACAGCCTTCGCCGCAGTCGGTGGGACGCGAGTTCGTGCGTCAGTATTACACGCTGTTGAATAAGGCGCCCAATCATTTGCATCGCTTCTACAACAACAACTCGTCGTTCATACACGGCGAATCGACATTGGTTGTGGGTCAGCGCGAGATTCATAATCGCATACAGCAATTGAATTTTAACGATTGTCATGCCAAGATCAGTCAGGTTGATGCCCAGGCCACTCTCGGCAATGGAGTTGTCGTTCAGGTCACTGGTGAGCTGTCCAACGATGGTCAGCCAATGCGCCGCTTCACCCAGACATTTGTCCTAGCTGCCCAGTCGCCCAAGAAGTACTATGTGCACAACGATATCTTTCGCTATCAGGATCTGTACATCGAGGATGAGCAGGATGGCGAGTCACGTTCCGAAAACGATGAGGAGCATGAAGTTCAGGTCCAGGTTGTTGACCAGGCCGTCCAGGTTGTAGGCGAAGCCGCACAGCCGCCACAACAGTTGCCCACTCAGGTGGTGCTGGCGCAGCCGGTAGTTCCAGTTGCTGCCGCTGGCGGAACTGCTGCAGCGCCGCAGCAAATGTTTTATCCACTGCCAGCTGGCGCCGCAACTGGACGACCCGTGGCGGTATTGCCAGCAGCACCACAAGCTGCAGCGGTGCCGTTGCCTGCGCAGTTCACCAACCCGCCGCCGCCAATCCAAAACGGAGTTGTACCACACGAAGAGTTGCCACAGCAGCAACAGGGACCGCCGCAGGCTTTGGTGCAGGCTAATGTATCGCCTTTGGTTCAACAGCAGCCGAGTGGACCCGTGATGCCGTCCAATGTTGGCATTGTGCAACCAGTGCCAGTGCAGCCAGCTGCGGCCTTCCAGCACTCACCGCTTGTGTCGGCACCGCCTCAGCTGTTGCCCCAGCAGCATCAGCAACAACAACAGCAGCAGCAGCAGCCACCACCGCAGGCCATGCAGCAGCCATTGGAGCCAGAGGAACCGATTAACAACGAGGCGAAGGTCAGCCACTTGCAAAGGGCAACAACCCCAGTGGAGGACTTCAAGACCATACATGAGCAGCAGCAACAGGAGAAATACGAGGCAGCCAAGCAGCAGCAGAACGAGCCCAAGACCTATGCCAATCTGTTCAAGTCCACATCATCGTCGCCCAGTGGCTTTGTCAATGCGGCACTGCAGCAACAACAACAGTTGCAGCAACAGCAGCAGCAGCAACAAACCCAGAGCAATGTTTATACCTCTTCAACTGGCGGCGGCCAGGCCAGCTACTCTACAACCGCCTCCTCCTCCTATAACAATAACAACAGCAACAACAACTCTCGCTTAGATAATGGAGGTCCACTGCCACAGCGCAACAATTCGATTCGGAACAAGGGTAAGTCACATTGCGAATAAATCGGTGGAATTTTATATATTTATTTATTTATGCTATATATATACAGAGTTTGAGCAGCGTCGTCCTAGCAATGCACAACAGTTTGGCGACAATCAGCAGCTGTTTCTGGGCAATATACCACACCATGCATCCGAAGAAGAGCTGCGTCAACTATTCTCGCGTTTCGGCAATGTTATTGACTTGCGTATACTATCCAAAGTCGGCAGCAAGGTGTTGCCGGGCATGCGCAGTCCACTAAACTATGGCTTTATTACCTACGATGATCCTGAGGCGGTACAAAAGTGCCTGGCCAATTGCGTATGTAGTAACAGGAGAGTAACATAAGATTTAGCTTATAATTCTAATCTATAACTCCATTTGCAGCCCCTGTACTTCCCAGAGAACTCGCCCGATGGCCAGAAACTGAACGTTGAAGAGAAGAAACCACGTATGCGCAATGATATGCCACCTCGTCAGCCCATTGGTGGCAACAATATGAATAATATGGGTCGCAATAATATGCGAGCCGGTGGTGGCAACAACGGACCGCGCATGGGCGGCAATGGTGGCGCTAGTTTTGGACAGCGCAATGACAATCGCAGCAGCGGTGGTGGTAATCAATCCAACGGACCACTGCGCGGTCCTGGCAATGGACAGACCGGTGGCGGTAATTATGGACGCCGTTAAAATGCAGAGCGTAATGAGAACCGGTGGCCACTCATTGGATGGCCGCCAGTGCAAAAATAACAACAGCAACAACCCAACGTCAGCATCGATTTCTTCCATAATGCAAACAATCAATTACCATCATCAACGTCATGCAGTCACACACACACACACACACACACACACACACATTTAAGCACACACGCATACATACACCACACAATCAGCAGTAGCAGCAGCAACAGCATTCAACGCAAAAGATAAAAAAAAATATATATCTAATTGTCTTCATGTTTAAACGTTCCTTAGAGCGAAAACAGCTACAACGATGGCAACCATTAACTGGAGGCATCGTGCTGCAACAAACATCATATTTATACTATTGGATCGCCCTTTAGTTAAGCTCGCTTTGTGCAGTTTGTTTACTTTTTGTTCTCTTTCATTAGCCAGCTCGTGCCAAAAAGCAAAATTCTGTGCAAATTTTCGTTGTAAATCTAAATATAAACATCAAAAAACAAAAAAAAAAAACACAACAGCTGCAGCACGCCCTCCAAAAAAAAAAGTTAAAATAAAAAAGCGCGCCAACGCCTAAACGCATATATTATAAGTCAAATACATGCAGCCCACCACAAATACATGCAAACATCTGCACTCACACACACAAACACGCACTCACATAAACAACTAACTCACACACTCACACAGTGTCACAGATCTTAGTGTAAATGTAAACTTTAATTTTCAACTGTCGTTTAAATTCATAATTTTCAAAATTTTAACTATAAGTTAACAAGAGAAATGCTATAAAAAAGAAGAGAAATGCAAATGCTAATGTTTTCGCTTGTTTTAATTTTATTACAAAATCTACTCTTCAGCACTTAATAAATTAAATTATATTAAAGGCGAATCATTAAAATTAAAGAAAATGAAAACTTAGCTAAACAAAAACTAAACAATTAAAAAAACAAAAATACAAAAAGGAAAAAACTTTTTTTAAAAAATGTAATAAAAAAAGCAAAATAAAGACTTAAACCCGTAATCTAAAAAAAAAAAAAAAAACAAAAAAAAAAAAATTAACAAAAAAGTAACAAGCAAAATTATGTAAAAGCGATTTAGGGAAACACTCAACTGAATTATGTAGCAGAAGACCTCAACAACAACAACAAACACTCAATCGTAGGTTCATATAAAGCAGTCAGAAGCAGCGCAGCAACGTTAGCGTCGCCGCATTATTTACGCCTGGCCCCCTCTTTCATTTGTCCCTATACACAATGCCACTACAGTTTATTTTGCCGGCACTTAAACCTAGCTAGTCTTTTAGAAATGTGGAACAAGGAAGTTAAGGAAATTGTTAAAAATTTGATCGGGAAATGCGGTGCCGCAGCGTGCATGCATAATCGGCGGTTAGCGTCGTTTTTTTTGTAATGAATTCAAGTTCGTAAACCAAACTAAGTCAAGTAACGTAAACGATTTGGTGTTTCCAACGCAGTTGTGAACTAAAATTTAGTACATATTTAAAAAAAAAAAAATAACTAAAAACAAAAGCAAAAATGTAAGAACGCAATCTACTAAAAAATTTTCTCAAGGTAAAGCAAGCAAATATGTAACAAGAGATGATATATATATATATATTTGAAAACTTATAATATGTAATGTTAACTTTTAGACCTTCAACAAAAAAAAAAAAATATCTAAATAAAAGCATGCATAGGTATTTTGATAGACAGCAGCAGAAACTGAGAAACACTTTCAAACCACATAGAAATATTGATTTCTAAACTTAATTTGTATATGCAAATTTTTAGTACATTGTTTAAAACTCGATTAGTAAATTTAAATTTTGTTTAGCTTCAAACATATCATTTTTTTAATTGTGCGGCGTTGAAAATTGCGCTATAACTAAATCATAGATTATTTTTGATTTTTGTTTATTATGTTTAGCACATATTGTTTGTACCAGAAAGCAATTTTAGCACTGTTATCGGGGCCTAAAGCAATTCATAGAACATTTTAAATTAAACAAAATGTTAGTGTTCAAATCTTAGCTCAAAAACAGTGTTGAAAGTGCTTGAAAAATAAAATAAAAAAAAAAAAATACAAGCGCATTAAATTAAATACAAAACGATAAATAACAAATATCGTTCATGCTCATTTTTAAGTAACAAAACTATAAGAAAATACAGTTTGTATAAAATTAAAAACAAGAATAATTATAATTTAATTTATAGGTATACAATTAAAATAGTTGTAAAACAAAAAACAAAACTTGGGTACGCTTACCAGAAGTCTTTGAAAACTGATTTTCAAGTTTCATCTTTTTATTGTATTAAGAACACAAGCCCAGAAGTTATGCAGTTCTAGGGAAACGCCATCGAAATAAGGCATAAATTACAAAAACAATGTCAAGTAAAGCAATATTTTCTGGTCAGCTTGCCCAGCAGTTCCAAATATTTAACAAATCGTACTCGAAAATCAAGATGAAACACCAAGCAAAAAAAGAAAAAAGAAAATTGTCTTGTGCAGCAAATAAAAAAAACCAATTTATTTTTAAACAAAAGTATCTGAGATTTTTGCATTGAGTTATATTTGATTTTATTGAAAAATCAAATAAAGTTGGCATTTAAACTGAAATTGATGCGCACAAAAGCAAACAATCGAGTTTGCATAATTTTAATAAATTAAAAGAAACCATAAAATCCATTTTCAAAACCAATCACAATTCATTAAAATCTACAAATACAATTCAGTGGTGCGTTTTATACCTATTCGGGTATAAAACATTACACATAAAACAAATCGTAACAATTAAAATGCTAATTAAATTATGTTTGAAATAAAGTGAGGAAAAAGAAAAACCAAGAGTTTTAAAAGTCTACAAAAAGAGCAAAAGTTTTTATTAATGAGTCGGACATTAATATAGAATGAAAACATTCTTTAACATGCACGTATCAAAAATCCTACTAATCATTATTATTATTATTATTATTTGTTTCAGTTGTTTTGTGATTTTTGCTGCTGAAATTCGTGTTGATCGTTTGGTTAAAATATGGCATGTATTTCACATACATTTAGCAAATAGACGAGTTGTACAGTGCAGGGCATACATAAATGTATATAATACTATAAATTAATTGTGAATTCTCTTCATAAGCAGACTTCTTAAATGCCTGAAACAACAACAAAAATATATGAAGACGATTAATTGAAACAAATGCAACTGGTTGCGGCACGTACCATAGGCAGGTGTTGAGATATCATTGGACAAGGCACTAATGTGATTTGCCTGGGGAGTCCCAAAGTTGTATCTGCCGGTTGGTTTAAAGACCTTGTACTCCTTGGCGAGCCACTTCTTTTCCACATCGACGGTGGCGTGATTCTCTATGTTGGCATCGCCAATGGCCACCGATGCCTGCTTCTTGGTAGCTTCTTCAGCCTGCACAGACTTATATTCATTTTTGGGACGCTCAGTGTGCAGTGGCTGAGCAGAGACAGGCTTTTGGCCAACTTTCGGCTGCCATACAATTGAACTATAACTGTTCCTGGTCCACTCCGAGCCAACGTACGAAGGATTGCCATAGGCCCAGCCGCCCTGCGGATAGCCAGGCAATTGTGGCTGATGGTGTGGATAGCTCATGGTTGTTGTTGGAATTGTCGGTGCCACATATGAGGCCCAGCCATTAAAGAATGCCGATGGTGGTAACGACGTTTGAGCCTGATACGGATTATAGTTCGGATTATAGACTAAGTTATCCATAATGGTCGGCTGGGGCGGAGCATAACCGGCGCATGCGGCACCGCCAATAGGTAGGCGTATGCGTTTGCTGCAATCCAACATCTGGGTGGATTTCTTCACCTCAACAGTGATGAGTTTTATCGAATGCTTGCTTTGAGCTATTGACAGGTGTATAAAGAAAAATAACTATAAGCTCAGGTATTAAGGCCCACCTACCTAAAGCACGCGCAGCGCTGGCTGTGTCCTCAAACTCCAGGAACCCAAAGCCACGTTTGCGTCCGGTCTCCTTGTCCAGTAGCACCTTGACGCTGCTGATGGTACCAAATTGTGCGAAATATTCTCGCAATGTGCTCTCATCGTGACAATCTTTAAGGCCGCCAAGGAAAATCTTGTTTGTCTTAATATTGCTGAGATGGCCAATTGCCTTGTTGAATTCATGGCGTGGAAATGCGCGTTTGGTGTCAACAGTTCTGCGTGTAATATTAGTGAATGCCTCATCTATTTTGGGTTCGTATGAGACTTACTTGCTGTCAATAATATGGGGACGCGCACGCTGGACATTTTCAACAGCGCCTGGTTCAACATAGGTAACAAAACCAAAGCCGCGCGAACGATTCGAGATGGGATCACGCATCACCACAGCGTCAGATACGACCCCAAATTGGCTAAAGAATTGGCGCATCGTTTCGGCCGTGGTATTTATCGAGAGACCACCAACGAATATTTTACGCAAATGCTCGTTATTTTCGGCTGCATTGGCGCTGCTTTGATCTGAATCAGCCATGTCAGTGCCGGTGCCACCAGAGCGACCACCTATTTTGCGCTTCTGCAAAAATTGCATTTGTAGTGCCCATTGGCAATTGTAATTGGCAATAGAAATACTTACCTCTTGGTAGAAGGGCGCATTTACAACCGAGTTATTCACCATTTTTGGCATGAAAACAAATTTCTGCTGCTGAACACTGAAAGAAAAGCACAAAAACTGAACTGGCTAAAAATTAAATGACAAGGATACAGCCGGAAAAGTTTTAAACGTCAAACAAGTGTTGCCGTATCTGAATATTAATCTACGTTGGCATATATATTAGCTCCAAGCTGGCAACCCTATCGATGTAAAAGGTCTCACTGCGTTCAAACATCAAGCGACAGCTTAGGCGCTTATCGAAATAACGGTGTTCGTCAGTCACGTGATGGCAACGTAGCAACAGCTCTCTCTCTCTCTCGCACCTTTTTGAAATATGTGGCGGCAGTAAACGGAATGTTCATATCACAACATTTATCGATAACCGATAAGCATCAAGTCCGTTGACAAATCGCCCTTTCAAATCCAACTTCGGTTAAATGAATTTGTGGTCTTATACAACATTCAAAGCCGTCCCCCGTGCACCAATAATGGAAACAACATTGTTTAAATTACTAAATTATTTTATTGCAATCAAAATATGGCACATACGACATTATACTGTACTTACCTTGCGACTGAGGCAAATGCTTCAGTTTAGTTGACTGCCAACCAAATTTGTCAGTGAGCCCAAGCTCTTTGGGTACCAGTTGCCCGGAATTCAGCATCCAGCTCTTCAAGCAGTCTTGCAAAGAAATACGTAGTGCATTAGTAAGCTGTTGCCAAGGTGTTTATGGTATAAACTTGACGCGAAGTGCGGTAATTGCTATTATCTACACGAGCGCTTCTCTTTTGTGGCTTCCCATCAGATACATTTGTGCCTACCTTAGTGCAGAACTCTATAAATATTTGTTTGTTCTGTATGATATATTCATTCCTCTTGCTGTGGGTTGGAGGGGGATTTCTTTTATCTGCTCTCTGTAGTCACATTTCGGGTGGGTAACATTAGATTTATTTTCTTTTAGCTTTCGTTTTTAGTTTTACCTCGTAACGTACTAATTACAGAACAAATTTTATGATATTTACTTTTAGTTCTTTTGTACCAAAAATCAATCAGAATAGCTGCTATATACGTCTTATACACTAACAAAAATTGGTATGTAACGTTAATGCATATTCATATTATGCATTTGTTGGAAAATAAAAATGAATGTAAAAAATGTGCACAATCATTTTCACGTATCTTTGTGAATTAACAGATATTTGGTTCCTTTTGTGGGCATTTCTCAGATAATATAAATCATAGATATAAAAAGCTTAAATATACAAAAAATTTATTACAAAATAGGTTTCTTTCTATATATTTACTTAAAAAATTGTTTGCTGATTTTCTAAAAAATTATATGTGTAAAGTACGATCAGTGCTTTATAAACTGAGCATCGTCGACTACAATCTACATTGAATTTAAGGTACACTACCTTTTCCTTTTTTTTATATATATGTATATATATACTGCAGGCCACCAATTCGGCCACCTCAATCCATATGGACAATCGATTCTCGAAGAGAATTGTTGCAAAAGATGCATTTTCAATAGTCAATTTTATAAATAAAATTATATAGTTTTAGTATATTTTTCGGATAGGTTTTTGTTTTTTGTTGTGTTGTTGTATGGTGTGTTAATTTAGTTAAAACTAAGCGTTCAAGGTTCTTAAAATCCTAAACACGAATTGATCATAAAAATTAAATGTATGTATAATTGAGACAAGACATTAGCAATAAATTGTTGATATTTGTTGGTTGAAGTGAGTTTCTCAGGTTCATATCAAACATAATTTGTTTAGTATTGTTTGTTTTGATATTATTTTCTTTCTTTGTTTTTTATCGGGGTTAGTTAGTTGCTTATAGGCTGGTCTTGAGGGCACACAATGTCGATTGCCTGATAACTGCATACACTTCATTTTCTGTATAGCTGCTGATTACTTGCTTAAATCATTATCTTGTCTGCCTGCCTTTCCCAAATTTCACTGCCTCTCACTGTCATTGATTGCCTGCCTCTGCCTGTCTCACTGCCTGCGCCTAGACTGCCTTTTTGTCTAGCTTGAACTGATTCTGTAAGTGTTTACCTATTTGCGAGAAAGGAGAAAATTTGCATTAGCACTTTTAATATAAGGGTTTTCAGTTAACAACGAAGCAATTCGATTTTTCGTTTGAAACAACTTTTTTTTTTCGTTCGCTACAACTGTGACTTTGTCCGAACGCTTTAAAATACACATTTAAACACATATTTACAAGTGAGTAAGCCATAAACATCATATTTACCTTGATTAGTAACGTCTATTGCCGCCCATATTGCCACCTTGGCTGGTGTTGTAATTATTTCCACCACCAAAACCGCCCTGGCCACCTCCGCTGCCTTGGCCGCCACCTAGATAAAGCATTGATTAGGTTAACAATTCCAAAACATGTTTATAACATCTTCGACTTGTTCGACTTACTCTTGTTGAAGCCGCCGCCTTGGTTGTATGGCGCCGGGCGATTGTTGCCAAAGTTGCTGTTGCGCTGCGGACCGCCACCGTAGCTCTGTTGATAATCGTTGCTGAAGCTACCGCCGCCGTTACCGCCACCCCAGTTGCCGTTGCTGTTACCACCGCTGCCGCTGTAGCCGCCACCGCCACCGTTCCAGCCACCGCCGCCGCCGCTGTTACCGCCCTGGTTATTCCAGGGGCCGGTCTGTTGGTTCCAGCCACCAGAGCTACCTTGGTTGCCACCGAAATTGCCATTATTACCAAAGCCTCCGCCACCGGAACCCCAATTACCGCCGCCATTTTGGCGATTGTTACCCCAGCCGCCGCCTTGGCCACCACGATCACCACCTCGACCACCGGCGCGTCCTCCGGGACCGCCACGGCCGCCACCACCGCCGCCGCCGCCACCACCACCACCCTGGCGATCCATATCCTGTTTGGCAATTGCTTTCTTTACGTCGAGCGTCTTGTTCTTGATGTTGTGCGTCTTCTGCAGGATAATTTTGTCCACAGGATCGTAATCGTCGAACTCAATGAACGCAAAGCCGCGCTTCTTGCCGGTGTCCTTGTCAGACACAATATTGACGCCAACAATCTGCCCGAACTCCTTGAAGTACTCGCGCAAGCACTCCTCGTCATGATCGTCACGCAGACCACCCACAAACAATTTCTTTACCGTAGCGCCAGCGTTGGGCGCATCGATCTCCTGTCGCGGCACGGCACGCTTTGGCTCAACAGTGCGTCCATCGATTTTATGGGGACGTGCATTCTGCGCATTATCAATCATATAAGACTGCGAGTAAGTGATAAAGCCGAAACCGCGAGAGCGCTTTGTTTTTGGATCCTTCATAACCACAACATCGACGATATTGCCCCATTTCTCAAAATGAGCTTTAAGGCCCTCATCGGTGGTTCGGTAGTCCAAACCGCCGATAAACAGCTTACGTAGCTGCTCGGGCTCAGAAATTTGCTGGAAAAAAAAAATAAACAAGAGAGTACAGTTAGTCACAAGTGAAATCGATAATAAAAAAAAAAGCCGCCCGCCATTTTCTTTTTAACATTTGCATTGCCGCATGTACAATTTTTATTTGTTTTCTGAAATTAGGGCAACCGGCACGACATTCATTCCTGTCATCATTTGTCCTGTATTAATCGGGCATTGGCGAATAAAACGTATTTAAAGCACACTTATAGCAAAATTATAAATGCGTTTTACCATTTTAAATATGTCGGCGTCGGCACTTGTACATGCAACTACATATATTACACACATTTCGCTCACCTCATCATTGTCGTCGTAGTTTCCATTGGAGTCATTTAAATCAGCCATTTCACTTGCTTTTATATTGTTAATTATACGATCAGGGATTTTCTTACAAATAAAAATGAATTTTTTCACAGTAGACGCCCAGCTCACTCACACGCACAGCAAGAGAAAAAGTAAGTACCTGAGTGTGCTGAAAAGTGAACTGGAAAAATGGCGACCACGTATCTGACAGCAGATGCCGGCCGAGATGATCGAACCTGCGATAGTAACAGTGACCGATATTTTTAAAAAAGTGTGACTGGTAAATGTGACGTTGCCTTGAAAAATATGTATGGTGACATATACATGCTCAAGGGGTCTAATTATTAATTTACTTTTTAATCAGTACATTTAAGTAATAATATCAATGCTAATAACTTTTGTAATATACTGTACATTGATACGTATTGCAAATAAAAATATATTTAATCGTGACAAGTAACAGGTAAATATATGACGTCTTGCTTGGTTGTAAACCAGGGCTGAAGCAAATAAAAATATTACAATGCTGACGCCGCATCGAGGCGGCAAAGCAGTTTTGAGTTCAGTGTCATTTCCGTATAAATTGCGTCGAGGTTGAGTCTGAATTATTTTTCGTCTGACGTGCAGTGCGTAAAAAAACAAGAAAAAGTGTGTTTGAGTCCGGCAAAGGAAATATTTACAATCAATACTTGTTAGTAAACGGTATGTTAACAATTTTATTATGAATATGCTTAAAAAATACATCAACAAAGCACTTATCAATGATTTGCTAAAAAGTTCTGTACCCGGTGGCCAACGTTCACATCGGCGACGCCGCCATCTTGCCAAATACACACACATTCATATACGCTTATGTATATATAACTCACACAGCCATACATACATATGTACACACGTATTAGCCTGTAGTAGTTGAAATCTTAACAAAATAGAAATATTGAAAAGGAAATTTTTATCGTCACGCTTTATACAGCATAATCAACAACAAATATGGTTGGATCACGCGTTTATGTGGGCGGCCTGCCCTACGGCGTGCGTGAGCGCGATTTGGAGCGCTTTTTCAAAGGCTATGGCCGAACTCGTGACATACTCATCAAGAATGGCTATGGCTTCGTGGTAAGTGGGCATAACAAAGAATTGATAAATCGATATGAGACAAATGCTTGTTTAATTAATAGGAATTCGAGGACTATCGTGACGCAGACGATGCCGTCTACGAGTTAAACGGGAAGGAGCTACTGGGCGAACGGTAAGTTTTGAATAGTGTGTAAAAGTTAAACTATAAATAAAAATTCATATCCGGCTTCTGTTGCTACAGTGTGGTTGTTGAACCAGCCAGAGGCACAGCTCGTGGCAGCAACCGGGATCGTTACGATGACCGCTACGGCGGTCGCCGCGGCGGGGGCGGCAGATATAATGATAAGTAAGTACTGATGCGTGTGCAAAACTTAGAATTTGTTCAAATCGAGTGTTTAATGAACATAATGCAGTGGACCCATAGACTGTAATCTAGAAACTTCCAATATATACCCTCAAAGCGTACTTATATAACAAAATTAACTATCTGAAATGCAAATAATACGGCTATTTATGCTTGTAAATTGACTTTGAGAAGTCAAATAATACTCTCGGGTTTTCGTATCTTCGCTATCTCAATGTTCTGTAAGATAAGCTAGTCAAGGGTCTACTGTGATAGTTTACAAATAGCGCCAACTCATTTCCTAAAGACACTGACATGCTGTTTATATATATGTTAATATAACTTTCTGTTCTGCTTAATTTGAAACATATAATAATTTACTTACATGCTGCACGTCCTAATCAATCAATCAAATGCACATAATTTACTATTATTAATAATTGAATTTTTGCGGCGCGCCTTTTGCGACTGCCAACCCCATCCTTCATTTTCCCTTTTATATATTGAAATGCTCAACTTTTATGCTCTTGCCATTTGGCTTGGGTGGAGTAGCATTTGCAATAATCACGATATGTACATATATATAAAATCTTTTGAGCAGCAGCGCAGTGTCAATACTAATTTTGAATTCATTAAATTATTCACCAGAAACAAAAATTCCAGATCATCCTCCCGTTATGGACCGCCATTGCGCACCGAGTACCGTTTGATTGTCGAGAATTTGTCCAGTCGCGTCAGCTGGCAGGTAAGTCATCTATCTCCCTACTTACGTATTTAACAGTAGCCTAAAAAGTAGACTAGTATAAATATATATAAATATATATATATGGTAACAACAATCTAACTGACTCGTCAATTGGGCGCTACTGAAAGAGCTAATCAATCAATCTATCTATAAACTATATCATATATCTAAACCCAGCACTTCCCTGTTCTATCTTCTTATTTTGTTTTGATTTTGAACTCCATTTCTAAGTTGGTGTTGCTCCCCGAAACGCTTGGCGTTTATTTATTTATTTTTTTTTTTCTTTCCTAGTAGTTTCCCCCCCTTTGATTATTGAGCTCGAAAACTAACGACGTGTGAAAAATGAAATGCCTGCATCGATTATTTTCAAGCTCAATAAACTATGTACATATTATATATCTATTATGTTTAAGCTGTATAGTTGACTTAGACTTAAGCAAAAGTTAAACAATGCAAAAGTACGTTAAAAACTGGTACTGATCGTTGCAATCCCAACACTTATTTTTTTCACACCAACCAAAAAGAAAAAGAGTGTGATGTGTATCTGTTACTGAACCGCCCCAGAGCTTAGAAGAGAGTGACAAAAATACAGGCAGTATTATGTGTAATGGCCAGAGAAAAGGTGCCATATAAACCGAGCTGAACTGAAACTAATAAAACAATAACGTGCTATGGCCAAATACTTCGTCGATGTACGATATAAAGCCTGGCCGGGGGCCTCAACTTGTTACATGTATTACAAACGGAAGAGAAATCCAACAAAAAACGAGAGACAGAAACAAAACACGCACGCAACATAAAGAGATTCGACGCCTGACAGTGCATCCCACGTTATCGTTGTCGGTCGCTTTGTGAATGATCTTCGCTTGGGTTATATAAAAGCTGTATTTCCCCTAAAAAACCATCTCCCAAACACGCTTGGTCTTCGCGCTGTCGTCATCGCCGTCGCCGCTGTCGTCGTCGTTGATGCCTCGTCGTCATCCATGCCAAAAAAAATAAAAAAAAATTAAAAACATACAACTGATGTGAATTGTGATGGCAGCTGCCTGAGATTTGGGCTAACAAAAGGCCAGCCTACGCGCAATGCCCAAAATGCCAAGAATATGTTATAGCCGTATTGCGTAGGCTTGCCTATTGTACGCTGAGGCTTAGGTATTTAAATGTTTAAGCATTCACAATTTAATTACAAAAATTATATAAAGAATTGTCAAATTCCTTATAGCGAATATGAGAGTTTTGAGGTCGTATGACAGACAAAGAGAGAGACAGAGAGAGAGAGAGGGAGAGACGTTAACAAAAAAAATAAAACTAAACAGTTAGATGCGATGGGATGATGATGATGACCATTGATGACATGACGATGATGATACTGGCCGACTCTTTAACGCGTTCATTTCATCTTCGGTTAGGCAAAGTGCAACACTGTGCGCCAATTCTATGTGTCTGTGTGTTCCCCCTCTTAACTGGCAAGGTCTGGCCTGGCTCCGACTCTGGCTTCTGGCTCTGGCTCTGGCTCTGGCTGACTATCGACTAGAGACTCATGGAGCAGCTAACACGCCATCGTCGCACCGCCGATAACGTTCCAGCCTCAGAGGCGCTCCCCAAAACGTATTTCTTATTTTTACAGTTCGTTTCTGTGAGGCCGTGGGAGAGATGAGATGCCGCCGCCTGGTTGACTGCCTGGTTGCGTACTGTTTTGTACTGTGCGTACTGCTGCTCTACACTGCCACTGCTCGCTCTCTCACCCACAAATCCCGACTGCGGCCCCGGCAGTGGTCCTGGCTCCCGGCAACTGTTTCTGACTGTGCGTTTTTTTGGGTCCCACGATTAAAAAGTACATGAACAAAAACAAAAAAAAAAACAATAAACAAGTAGCACAACAAAAAATATATATAAATTCCAATATAATGATCAAGTTAAAGCACATACATACATAAAAAAAAAATGCATTTCCTGGCCAATTCGCTCATCTGCCAAAACTGCCCGAGTGTCTGGCACGGCATTGTGGCCGACTTTGCGTGCGGTTTTCTGGTTGCTGGCCTGGCCTGGCCGCCAACATGCTGATCAAATGATTTGATGTTGAGATGTGGAGCTCTCGATCTCGCTAACTGCTCTTTCGATGAGGTCTTGCGGTCCAGCTGAGGGTTGCCCCCATTGGCCGACAGTTACTAGGCAGACAAACAAAACTCTCGGTGTTGTACGATAAAAGCGATGTGTGTGTCCTCTCTCTGAAAGCGCATTAAGTAAGAACTCAATTACAACTTTTGATTTATCATTTTTTTGATCAAGAAACCAAAAAAAAAAAAATGTATTAAAAAATATATATATAAATATTATTATATATAATTATGCTTACGTTTTGTACCGCGTGCAGCAAACACAAGCAATGAATATTTCAACCGAACTGGCGTTGTTGTGCTCAATTCGACTGAACTGGCAACGGCGCAACTGGCACTTGCACTTCTACCCCCTAACTCCATACCCCCAACAAAAAAAAAACAAGAGGTGTCCATTAGGCAGGCGATGCGAGTGATCGATCTCATACAGACTGATATTGAGTGGCAAAGAGGGACACAGCTTTGGTTAGGAAGGCCCAATTCCACATAAATGTTGCGCATACTAGCGTTGCAACGATACCAGATCGGAAATATATTCAAACTGCTTGGTCTGCACGCTGTATTTGATTTGCCTTCAAGAGCACATATATCTCTAGCTATTTTTTGTACTAATTCACATATTGTTTTTCGTATTATTTGTGCGTTATCTGCAGGATCTGAAGGACTACATGCGCCAGGCTGGCGAGGTCACCTATGCTGATGCCCACAAGCAGCGTCGCAACGAGGGGTAAATAATGTCGAAAGCACATTTTGATTTTTGTCAACTAATTTATTAACTGAATCTTTAGCGTGGTGGAGTTTGCCTCGTTGTCGGACATGAAGACTGCCATTGAGAAGCTTGATGATACTGAGCTGAATGGGCGTCGTGTGCATTTGGTCGAGGATCGTCGTGGCGGACGCAGCGGTGGTGGTGGCGGTGGCGGCGGGGGTGGTGGTGGCGGCGGAGGCGGTGGACGCGGTCGTTCCCGTTCTTCCAGCTCACGTTCACGCTCTCGCTCGCGCAGACGTTCTCGCTCACGTCGCTCGTCGCATTCGCGCTCTAAGTCGCGCAGCCGCTCCAAGTCACGCGGCGGACGCTCAAAGTCCAAGTCACCAGTTAAATCGCGTTCTCGCACACGTTCGCGTTCAAAGTGAGTTTATTTTATCCCCGATTTCAGGCTTAAAGTTTAATTCTAACAATAAAATCTCTCTTATTAGCAAATCTCGTGATGTGTCCAAGTCAAAGTCAAAGTCCCGCTCACGCACTCGCTCCCGTTCGCCCAAGCGCGACTCGCACTCACGCTCACGCTCCAATTCCAAGCGTGAGTCACGTTCTCGATCACGTTCAAAGTCTAATCGTCGCGATTCGCGTTCACGGTAAGTGTCTGCCATATAATTTGTATGTTTTCTTTAATTCTTTGAGCTTTATGTGATATGCTTTCTTTTCGTGCTTTCTTTGATTTTGTTTGGATGTGCAGACCGTGTTTGGTGGCTCCCAATATTTAGTATATATTTATTAAAACATATTTCAAAAAAACATCTCTCTTGCAGCGATCGCTCCGCATCGGCTGATAATAAGTCACGTTCTCGCTCCCGTTCGCGTTCAGCATCCCCGAAGAATGGAAACGCTTCACCAGATCGCAACAACGAAAGCATGGACGATTAGATTAGTTAGCTGTCCCATTAATTATAAAAATATTGATTTTAGATTTCGACTAATTACTATAGAGAACCCCCAATACAGACACCTTATCCACCAAAATCACTTGAAACAAAACAAAACAAAAACATGCAAATCTTAAATCCACTACCAAACATCGTAAACATTTTTTAATATTTAAAAATTATGTTTAAGAGCTCGTTCGACACACACGTTTCGCCAATGTATTCTAATTGTTGAATATACCCGATTGTACGCATGTTTAACACAAATTATACAAAGGGCATCTGTCGGTCGAATACTTTTCCATTGATTATTTCTTGTGCAAAGGCAATAAAATGCTTGCCTAACAAATTGTTTAAACCAAATTATCACACAAATATTTCAATAAAAACCGAATGGATTCATAAAATAAAAACTGTAAACGTGGTACTTTTGTGGTGGGCAACTATAACTACTATATGATATAATATAATTCTCGAGTAAGATGTAAAAGTCCATTGGCATTAAATCAAGCTTGCAGCATGTTCAAGTATATACAATTTGGTGTTTATTTTCGGATTTGAATATACTCAAATGTATTTTACAAAGTTTTTTTTATTTAAATTTCAATTTTTTGCTTTATTTTCAATGAAATAAAATTACAATTTGTTTTACTTTTATTTGAAATTGAGCAGCTATATTTCATACTTATGTGAAATTGTTTAAACACATACAGACAATACCTACTAAAAATTTGAAATAAATTTTATATTAAAAAGTCGTACGTAATATATATTTTGTTTTCTTTTTGCTTGCCTTTTGTTAATACAGAATTAAATACATAACTATGCCTCATAACTGCGGTAGTTGTGTTTTTTTTTGTTTTAGAAATATTTTATTCTTTAAAGTATATCTGTAACTACGTTTATTTACTAAAATATTTACAAAGCACATAAGGATTTTCTTGTGGGGGGGCATTTGAAAGCGTTTTCATCTCAACTGAGCTGAATACCAAAGAAAATTATTTGTAAAATGGAAGTTTCATAAATATCTTAGTTGGGAATTATCAACTACATTAAAACCAAATGCAATCGTTTGCGTTGATGCGTCTAAATGCGTCTGACGATTCGAGGGTCAGTGACTAATAGAATTAAGGACTGCAAAGGGCTGTCTATAGTTAGGGTTGGTATCGAGTGGGCGTGGCAACACTCATATACCTCGTATCTATATTATGTTTGGCACTCTTTGGAGTCAATTGAGCACTTGGTAAGACAAGTAGTTGGCTGTAATGTTACCTTGGCGTTTTGTTAATGAGACTACTAACTATATTATGTATATTTAGGTATAATATTAAACTAATATCCCGCTCGTGACTAAATACATCATTAATAATCATAAGAAATATATATATATATATAAGAATAAAATGGGCATGTTCTAATCAAAAATATTAAGCAAAAATATTTAGTATTTACAAAAATTGAATTTGACACGTCTTTGAATCTATATAGATTTATATTCTTCTTAGCGGATCATGTACGGTATCTAAGTGCAGCCTGAAAAAGGCAGTTCTAGTCTAGTGTTTCACACTATAATTTCGATATTGATTAATTTCAGTGGCTGTTGAGAGAAAATGAGAAACAGAGAGAAAGAGAGAGTGAGAGAGAGAGAGTGACAGAAGGTCTATGTGATCCTTGTGATGATTTGTGTCTATCGCTCGGAAATGGCAGTGGTTTAGATCAATTTTCTAGTGCCCTAATTCAATAATATACATATACATATAGTTAGATATTTATCTCTATAATGCTTACTACAGATTGTATATGTGTGTATTATATATATTTATGCACTAATTTACATTGTAAATGCACATAAATATTAGTTCGTGAACGCACATGAATTTGCACATTTTTCATTATTCCAATTTAATATTCACTACCCTTCAGTTCCGAATTCCATTAGGTTTAAGTACTATGTATCAGAGAAAGTTTTATCACTTTAATTATGTTTAAGTCGTTTGTGGAGAGGCAGGAAAAGGGGGCGTTTTGCTATACGAGTGGGCGCGGCCATATTCGTTGTTCCTTCTGCTGCTGCTGCTGCTGCTGATGCTGCTCCAAATTTGGCATCTAAATACGAAAAGATAAAAGTGATACATTGCGTTTGAGCAATTTGTGCGGCTGCTTGAGAGGCGAACGATTGCCTGTGTCGTCCACAACATCCAGGCCCATGCCCATGTGGCTGCCAGTCATGAGGCCACTGCCATTGAGGGCGCCAATGGTGTGCATGCTCTGCGTATCATAGTTCAGATCCTGCATGGGCACCACCTCCGGCAGCAGGTGACGTATGTGAGTTGGCGAGCGGCGCAGCTTGTACTGTTGCCTGTGAAAGCAGTAGAACAGGTAAATGTATTGTTATCATTTAAATGATGCTTGACGAGATGATATGATGCATAACAAATTACTAGGAAAATCTGCTTACTCTGCAACGTTTTCACTGGTCGCGTTTTTATGCCTGTTGCCAGAGTATATTCAGTTATAAAATACGTTTACACAACATCGAGACATCAAACAAAGCCAAAGATAAACCAAATGCAAAGCCATAGAAGAAAATACATTCAAATAATATCGAATTACCAATAATATTGAAGTCGAAATACACATATATAAAACATAAACACATTTATTAAATGCATAGACCAAATAGTTTATGTTTGGTTCTCATATTTAAAGTTTTTATATGATATAAGTCATATTTAAAATAAGTTGGAAATTACTTCAAGCTCGATATTCAAAAATTGTTAATTACTTTGAGCCGAATCTTAAGCCGGATGCATTGGCAAGTTCATTAAAAATCCAGTTTTTCCAATATTGAACTGGTCTAATGCAGTTAATCTTTTAGTTGAAAGTGTTAAAGCTAACCAATTTGTAAGATAATATTGGTTCAGATTTTGTAGACTTCCAAAAGAGTTTGAAGTTTAGACATCTTAACTTTCTGCTGCTATATGTGAGTTGATAAATTTATTATTCTCCCACATACGCAGTTTGAACGTAAGTAGACTAAGGAAATCAAACAGGAAACGGAAACCGTACAATCGCACACTAAGGACCCGTTTGTCAAGGGTTGCTTATGCTCAAGATGCTAAATGGTCTATGCTTAAGCCCTTTGCTTATGCTTATATCCAACTTAAGGCTTATGTCCAAGTTGATGTGTAGGCTTACATACTTTTTATGCCGGTTTCCATTCAAGCAAATACAACGGCATGAGCACATTGAGGATGTATTTGTGCCATTCAGCGATTCGACGTCTTGTCCTTCGTAGCCGCTCAGTATGGAATCATTGGATGTTATCACATCGCCCTCCAGTTTGACAGCCACTTGTAGTGCCTGTAATATCATGCCAATATCTCAATTAGTTAACTAATAGATATCACAATTAATAATATATAGCATAGATTGTAGCGCATTTTGTGAATAGAAAGTGGGTGTTCTTGTTGTTCTTGTTGTTAGAGGCTAAGAAATGTGTATTTGTTCAGTGTAGATCAGGTTGTTAGGCTGCTCGAAGCAGTAGTAGTAGTTGTTGTTGTTGTTGTTGTTGTTGTAGCATTGGTAAGTCATAGTATGTATTTAAAGCTCTAAAAAACCGCAATCACCTCATTGGTCCATAAACTGGACTTGGTCATAAACTAAGCGCGCGTTTGCATTTGTTTTGATATCATTAAGTCAAAAGCAACCGAAAATATGCCAAAAAAGAAACAAAATATATATATATATATTTGATTTTCCATTAAGTTCTTTATATGCTGACGCATTAAATTCAATTAATAAGTGAATGAATTTCAACATATTTAATATAAGTTAATCGGACTAATTGAATTGAATAAATAAATGCAGAAATTGAAGCATATTTCTTACAATAGCAAATGTGGAAAAACCAGAATGTGCGCGTATAAGTTGATAAATTGTGCGATTAATTGGCAAGCAAGTACTTAAAGAAAATGAATATAATTTATTTTAAAAAAATATGAGCAGAAAATGTTGAAAGTCAAAGGGTATGCTCATCAGTTAGAGGTCGGAACTATGTACGCAGCTAGGACTAATAGAGTTGAATAAGTTTAAGGTTTGAGGAAAACGGTTTACTGCCAATTGGTCAACTTGATAGGTGTATTTTATGGCTTAAAGAAAAAACAGTCCGCAAGTCTACTGAAGAAATAGCAATGGCATGGACATTATCGATGTACTATATTATAAAACATAGGTGACAGCTCACCTGCATGGCTTGGGCCTCGTCGCGTCGCTCGTCCTCGGTATTCATTGTAACAAACCTTAGTACTAACAAGTTCAGTGAGGCGGCAACAATTGCCAGTCCGAATAGTATAAATATCAGTGCGAACATAACATATTCGGGTTTTCGATTTAGCGCATTATCCTTTTGTAAAGCTACCATATCGCCAAAGCCTAGTTTGCACGAATATAACACAATTATTATTATTAATCAATTAATTGTTTAGAACGCTTTGATCGCTCACCTATTGTGGTTAAAGTAATAAAACAGTAATATACTGAATCAAAATAGCTCCAGCCCTCAAACTTGGAAAAAGCCGCCGCACCACCCGCGATCGTCAGCGAACTGAGCGTCGTGACAACGCATATTAGGTCCACCTCTGAGGCAAGCGTTCGCTTGCAGCGCAGCGATGTCCGCACCGCTTTGATAACAAAGCTGATAACGAGAATGGCATAAAACGCTTGTCACTAGACTATCAAATGTTATTGGAGGTAGGATGGGCACACACCTGCTCAGTCTATTCACTCTTTCTCCGATGCTCTGAAACATGACCAGACCCAAGGGTATCCCAACAATGGCATAGCACATTGTAAATAGTTTGCCACCGCGGGTCGTTGGCGTTGAGTGTCCATAGCCTGCAAATGAATCAATTGAGATTTAACGAATTGTTGTGAAGAAATCATCATTGCGATCTGCACTACGAAAGCAAAGAATTATTATAGCATTCCTATATCCTGACTCGAGTTACGCTATTTTTTTTTACTACTTATAAGCCCAGCCAAAAGTTTTTTATATGTTTCAGTTTCTAATACTAAGCTAACGGTATTTTCACTACCCTAAAATAGTAAATTAAGTTAAGTTAACGGAATATTTAGGCCTTATCTAAGGTCAAGGCATTGAAATAATTTCGAGCTAAAGACAAAGCAAGGTCTAATCGAAACTAACCTTCGATAGGTTCTCACAAAATGAGAAACGCATAGAAGAGAACATCTTCATACCCCTATATATATATATATATATTCCTAATCAGTATCAACAGTCAGGTCGATATAGCCAAGTCCCTGAGTCAGTTTCTTATGTGAACTAGTCTCTAATTATGGAGCTACCCATAGAAACGGCGAACGGATCGGCTTACTATATCATATAGCTGCCATCGAATTGATCGGACAAAACTTAGGTTCTTGTATGGAAAACTTTGTTGTTTATCAAAATATCGTAACCGAACACGTCCTTTGTTGCGGAGCTTATATATAATCCATATCTCACCCAGATGGGATAAACCATATATATCGCTCTGAAGAGCGTAAATATATAATATAAAATATAATATTTCACCACACAAATTCGAAAACCGTTTGTTAGAATTCTACATGAATATTGCTCTATTTCTATATCAAAAATATATATTGACTATATACCAATTGTTGTTAGCACTGTCGTTGCATAATAGAATGCGCCAGTGAACTTCCATTGTTGGCCAGCCTTGTGTGGCTCCGATTTGAGAACCACCGTCTCCATGACTTTAAAATCCTCCTGTGATATATTATATTTGCGTATTATCCGATCCTCGACACCTGCAACAGCAAGACAACAAATGACAGGATGTTTAATAGAAATATTAAATATATATTTTTTGATTACCTTGCAATGCCTCCCAGCGGCGTTTTTCCGTCTCCGATTCGAGGGCATCAAAGACGGCGGCGCCCACAAGTAAATATGTAAATGTACACACGATCAGGGATATCGTGCGGACATTTTGTTTCTTCATGCTTCATTTAGGCGAGGTTATTGGCTAAAAACATGCATTCCATTCACAATGTACGGCTGTCTCCTCGATGACTGCTGGCGGCGTCTTCTCTTGCGGTTGTACGGTTTATTGGTATTGTGACTAATCCAGCTGCAGACTTCCATATGTGTGTGTGTGTGTGTGTGCGTTGGCCGTTTACGTTGAAAGGACAAAACTTTTGTAAATCAGGTTAAGCGCAGTAACTAACACACACACACGCGCACACACGACGTGCAAACAGAAACACTTGAAACTCGACACCTTGGCCGCCTGCCACTTTCACTCTAACTGCCTCTCTTCCGCTCTCGCTCGCTCTCGCTTGCTCTCCTGCACACACACACACGCGCGCTGACAGCTTCAGGCGCTGCCTAATCAAAGTCTTGGCCGTTGCTGTGTGTGTGTGTGTGTGTGTGTGTGTGCGTGCGCGCGTTTTTCGTCGTTTAGTTTTAGTTTTTTTTGTTGTTGTTGCTGTTGTTGTCTACTTTTTGGCGCACGAGGCAATTATCTGAGAAATTCACTTAGGTGTCACTTGTTCGTGCACTCGAGTGCAATTGCATTAAATATGATACAATAAACAACTATAAGTATTTTAATTTTAGCAGCACTTGCAAATGTTGTTGTACACGGCTGCATTTATTTCTGTCACACATGCCGTTGCAACTGCCGTTGCTTCTGCCGTTGCTTCTGCTTCTGCTGCTGTTGTTGTTGTAGTTGCTGTTGCCTGCGCCTTTGTCCTCGTCGTAAACGCGTTCATTGCGCCCATCCATGTCCTTGTGTTATTTATAACAGAACTGCTGCTGCATTTGTAACTGCATCATCAGCGTCATCATCAAAATGTTCGCTCTGGCCCCAATCAGTTGCTGGCGGCCAGGTAACTGTAACCGTAACCGTAACCGTAACCTGGCTCTATGGTCCTGCTGATATGGGTTATAGCCCTTTCAAGGCTATTGCTGCTATAGACGGCTATTTTGTTGTCGTTGCTGTGCACACACATAGCGGCATCTCGTCGTTGCAATGTCCTTCGGCTGCAGTTCTGTTCTGGCTACGCACTCTGTGGGCGGCCCGGGTTAAAACAGAAATGAACATAAATAGTATTTTGTAGTATGCTCTGGCTAAAAATAGCGCACTCAGATTGACGCTGAAAGTGACAATCGTTTTGGCCACATCCTGGCCATTTGCTGGCGGCTAACGATGCAAATTGCCTAATCTGTCATCGTCAAAAAAATAAATACCCTGCGACACTGTGCAAACGACACAAGCCAATACATATACATAGATATGTATGTATGTACATATAAGCTCACTAACACATGCATGCACACAGTATGTGTGCCAAATTGGCTACAACATGAATTATTTAGTTGTATGCGCGTTTTTCAGATAAGCGCCAAGATTCTTGGCACCCAAACTGGGCCGCAAGTGTAAAACTGTAAGCAATTCTGCAGATTTGGCGGTAACTGTAGTTCCTGAATTATTAAAAAAAACACACACACACAAATTTTGCGCCAAAAGCTTAACCGAATAAATGAGATGAAAGGGGACAAGCCGTGCATGAAGAAACAAAAAAAAAAAAAACAGCAAAAGCTCATCTGTGTGCGTTGTGTCTGAGTCTGTCCTGCACATGTATGTGTGTGTGTACATACATACATACGTGCGCTTTTGTAGGCAAATTTAAAGGCATGCTATAATATTGTTAAGAGAAGCGAATCGTATATTTTGCTGCTGGCCTGCTTTTCAATTTGTCTAACAAGTAGGCAGCATTGCAGTACCATTAAATTATTCATGCATCAGTATTTGTATATGAATTTAAGTGTGTACGTCTGGCTGCCTATCCGTGTGTGTGTGTGTGCGTGTGTGTGTGTGTGTGAGGGCGAGTTGTCTTCAGTACGTCAACGTTGCGCGTTGAAGCGTACATCACACACACACACACAGAGACGCAGACACAGGCACAGGCACATGCTTTTTTTATAATTTATTGAGCCAAGCCACAACGTACATAAGCACAAATTCGGACCGTGAGAGGGTGGTTGAACATTTGTGGATGCCACAACAACACATAAGTGTGGCAAGCTGTGTGACTGTGTCGAAATTTCTGAAGCAGGCCACAGTACTTCTAGGTGGAATGCCAAACGCCCTTAGTTAACTTTTTGCTAGTTTCCCTATGCTACACGGTGTTGTTGTTGTTGTTTTTTGTTTTTTTTTTGTTCGTTTCAAGTTTTTTTTCTTTCTATTCTCATTATTTGTTGCGCCACCCGCAAGCTTAATCGCGCAGCCTCCGCCAGTCTCGTATTATTTGTGCTGTCGTTGACATTTGCTGTGCAGTGGCAATGACAGTGACACTATCAAGAATCCTGTGGTCGACCATTTAACTGCCTGATGTATGCGCTTGACTTGTTCTTCGACCCCCCCCCCCCCCCCCCCTCATCCTCCTCCTTCTCCACCGCCCCATGCACAGGCACAGCATCGCGAAAGGAAGATCCAAAAAAGAAAAGTAAAAGGAACTGGTATTCATTATATAAAACATTGTACACATACACAATAATTGTTGGACTTTTGGCCAAATTTTCAGAAATTCAAAATTTTCCAAATTTTAGGAATTCTGCATGCACATCTTTTAATTTGTCATTCGCTTAGCTTCTAATATATTAATTACACAAATTTTCACTACAATAATTTCATCTCATTTCGTTTGTCGTTGGCTCGTTTTCCCGTTCGCAATGCACGCACATTCGATTGTAATTCTCAACTGGCACGGCAACGGCGCACAAACTGACAGGCTGCTGGATCCTTTGTGGGTATTAGGGTTGAGCATCCCATGCCGACGCTGAGTAGGCAGGCGCAAGCTGGGGCTGCCAACTTGCGAAAGCTTAGCAAAGTGGCGCGCATTTGAATTGATGTACTTTCAGGCTCAGTGCCAAACCCCTGGACCTATGCGCCTCAGATATTTTGGTGTCATGGCTTGGCATAGTTAGTCAGCAGCCGTTGCAAACTGTCATTTCAATGCATTAAGGCCAGCATTGAAATGACATATTGATGCTTCGCAAATTCAGGCCACCAAATCAACTTCAATGTTTTAAGGGAATTAAATTAAATTACATTGCCAAACATTACACGCAATAAAATGTAAAATAAAAAATGAGCACTACAAATTATATAAATAAGATCTAATATTCCATGGGCTCCGGTGGCAGCACAATGTTGCAGCCGAGCAGACCCCGACCGCTCCATGCCTTGGGCACAAGTATCAGATCCAGAAACTGTTCGCCACGTTTGATCTTTAGCTGCACGTTTTGATTCTGCATGTCGCGCACAACTTCTCCAATTTGTGCTAGGCTATTCTTAAAGTTATTTTCGTTGATGGAGCCAAAACGCATGATTTTGTCGCCCACACGCAAGCCCTGCAATAGAAACAATTAGCTTTCGACGATAATAATTGGATTATGTGTTATTGCACTGACCGCTTCCTCGGCTGGCGAGTTGGGGCTTACAAGATTGACGACAACTAATGGGCGTGTATTCGGTGGCATTATGAGTGCTCCGCCGCCTTCTCGCCCACTGTTCAGCTCCAAGGCTGATGCCCGATTCACCAGCTCGGGATCTGTGGTAGCTATCTCAGCATGGTATTGATTGAGCAGGGTTTGTATTTGATTCATCAATTCCTTGTGATCATTTTGCAAACAGATAATGGTCTGACGCGCCTGGCGCACTTGATAGATATCGATGTCGTTCCGAGGAAATCCTTCAGCATCAACAAGTGAACCAGTCATGCCAACATTGTCGTTCTGTAAGGATCAAATATTAGTATCTGTACAGGCATAAATATAAGTATGCAAGGCGCTTGGACAAGCTCATAGTGCGGCATTTCTGACGTCACATTACACTTTTTGGTACCTTGATCTATGTCACCTTGCCTACATGCTTGTGTGAGTATTTACCGCGGCCAATATTTGTCCATTTTTATTAATCTGTGCCTCCAGGTCCACCTTCGCGGCCATTAGTCTTTCCAATCGCGCTTTAGTTGTGATTTCCGTTGCCATGACTTGCTTTTTCCTTTCGAAGGATTTTAATATAAGTAAAATAAAAACAACAGTTTTTTGTTGCGCTGCCGATAAATTATGTTAGAGATGAGTCTAATACAACCGATCTATCGTATTTATAGCATTAGCTAACACGATTTATAGAGATATTCCCGCTTCTTATTTATATTTTCTTTTTTCGATGAGATTGTTTTGACTTTTCTACCAAAATATTTATTCCTTTCTATAAATTGATTTATTTTGTATCTAAAGTGGCTTATTTACTTACTGATTGTGGTTGTCATAGAACCATGTACCAAGTCACGTTATGTGTTATCGATAGATGGTGAAAAATTAATTTAATCAAAAGTGGGAGTACTGCTATATCGATAGTAAAAATATCGCAATTATCGATATTATATCAACAATTGACATACACATATACATCTAAATACAACATATTCCCAGTTTAAAGTAAACACTGAATTTTATAGCATTATAGCAAAAACTGGACAAAACCAACAAGCTAGTAAGCGTTGCGACAATCTTCGTGCACAACGGACCGAAGGTTCGAACAGCGTACCCCTCATAGAAATGTGAACTGTGCGTTGTGGGCAGTTCGAAGGTTTATGCAATGTTCTAGTTTGGCCCACGAGCACACAAGGAGAGCGCGAAGAGACGGCAACTGCAATAGAGCGCCGTTTATACGTTCATATAATAAGTGTACACAAATAGCGTGTGTTGAGCTGCGAGCGCAACGCATCCAAATGACTGTTACTGTGACCAGCACACATGTAATGGAGGCACAAGCTAAAGCAACAATTTTGCAATCTGGCGGGGGCGGTGAGCAGCAGCATGGCTCTGACAAGTCGGTCGATGTGGCTGGCAAGGATGTTGATTTAGTTGGCGCGGCAGATGATGAGATGACCGTTCTGTTAACAAATCAAAACTACCATTTTGACGCAACATCCGATATAGAAGATGCTTTCGTAGAGCTAAATGGTAGCAAAGATGTGGAACTCGATGCGGCTGTTGGTGGTAACCACCATGCGGAGCATCCGCAAGTCACCTGGCTGGACGATGATGCAATCGATGCCCTGGATCGTGTCACACTGGATATAGGCAATATGTTCTTTAACCGCGTTGACAGCCAGGAAATTATTTATCAACAGAAAAAGAAGAACATCAAAATGGTGGGCAAATATGTGATGGGCGATGTGCTAGGAGAGGGCTCCTATGGCAAAGTAAAGGAAGCCATGAATTCGGAGAACCTTTGCCGGCTGGCCGTTAAGATACTCACCAAACGAAAGCTACGCCGCATACCCAATGGCGAGCAGAATGTGACACGGGAAATTCATTTGCTGAAGCAGCTGAAAAACCAGAATGTTGTCCAATTGGTCGATGTGATGTACAATGAGGAGAAACAAAAGATGTACTTGGTCATGGAGTATTGCATTGGCGGCTTGCAGGAGATGCTGGATCATGCGCCGGAAAAGAAGATGCCGCTCTATCAAGCGCATCAATATTTTCAACAGCTGGTGAATGGATTGGAGTATTTACACAGCTGCCGTGTGATACACAAGGACATCAAGCCGGGTAATCTGCTGCTGACGCTTGACCAAACGCTCAAAATATCAGATTTTGGCGTGGCCGAGCAGCTCGATATGTTTGCCCCAGACGACACCTGCACAACGGGTCAGGGCTCGCCTGCGTTTCAACCGCCAGAAATTGCCAATGGACATGAAACGTTTGCAGGCTTTAAAGTGGACATATGGAGCAGTGGCGTTACCCTGTAAGTAAATAGCTTTTTACTGGTACTTAGGAACGTTTCAACATTTATTGATTTGCAGCTATAATCTGGCAACGGGTCTGTATCCGTTTGAGGGCGACAACATCTACCGATTACTGGAGAACATTGGACGTAGTCAGTGGACTGCGCCCGACTGGCTATATGATTTGGATGAAAGCTTTGCCAAATTAATATTGGGCATGCTGCAAGCAGATCCAACTGCGCGGCTCTCTCTGCAACAAATACGCAAAGATGCGTAAGTGGTCCATTACGTAAATGCAACAATTGGTTTTATTTATGGCAATTTTGTGTCCTTGCAGTTGGTTCCTGTCCGCACCAGCGGTGACTGGCCCACCGATACCCATTCCTCCACTGAAGGGCGACAAATACGGACGTTCCACAGTACTGCCTTACCTAGAAGCTTATCATTATGGCAACGAACAGGATCAGGAAGATGTTTACTTCACTGAGCACGACGTCAATCGTATGTTCAAGATATTACAACCCCCAAATAAACTCTTGATTACTATTATATTTCTTTCAGAGGAATTGGCGCGGCGCGCTGCATCTGCTGCAGCTGAGATACGCGCTAATAGGAACGCTGCTGCCAGCGTGGCGTGCCATTCGTACGAGCCATCCACAAGTGCTGAAGCTGAGGCCATGGTCAACGGCTCCAGGGAGGTGACCACGGTCAAGAAAAAGGGCTCTGGCCTGAAGCGTCGAGCTAAAAAACTTGTATCCTGCATCTCAGTGCGCAAGCTGAGTCATTGTCGCACATCGTAGGCCCTACCCAAACCCCCCCTAGTTACTAGAGTAATATGGAAAAGTAATAACTTGTTAACAAATTGTGAGCAACTTTTTGGTTTTTGTTTTTGTTTTTGTTGTCTTACATTCGCCAAGTATTTATTAAGATAAAGCGAGATTGAAAGAGGAAGAAGAAAAGAGAGAGCGAGAGAGTAATCGAGGCACACACTAAGAGCCGACACCTTAAATTAGCTTAGAAAGCTGTTAGGCAGGCAGCAGAATGCAAGTAAGATCCAAGTGACAATACCGTGTATTATATGAGAAAGTTATTTAGGTCGTTGATATGTATTAAATGTAAAGAACAAACACGTTGAATAATTGCAATTAGCAAAGATTCGTTAAAGTAAACTGCGCGTCGGCAATACGCAAATAAGTAAATTGTTGAACTGTTGTTGGTTTTAATAACTTCTAAATCAATGCAATTTACAGGCGTCGACCATACACAAACTGCTGGACAGTATTTTGCAATGGAAAATTTATAAGTGTAATACAAATTTGAAACTATTGAAGAATATTTAAATATATATAAAAACTGCATTTAGTTCACACATATTTCCTTTCCATTTGGATCTCCCGACATGTGTAATTATCTACTAAAGTTTAGTTAATTATTTCTATACTCCTGCGTTGGAGTACTTGTAATACAGTGGAAGTGATTCGATTAAACTTTGTAAATACTCGCAATTCGAAAAAAAGTGTCAAGTGTTTTTGGTCTTATTTATGGAATATGTTTTTGCCTTTATTGACAAATTTAAATTAAGCTTAATTGGCATTGCAAACTTTAAACTTAACAGTTGACTAACTAATTCTATTATTCCAATTCTACGACTTCAATGCTGGATTTAGGCATGACTGCTGTTGGCTCTGCTATTGCTGGAACAGTTGAGCTTATGTGCAGATCACTCATGATGAACATTTGATGATAGTGCGGGCCTAGCTTGCTAAGCTTCTTTTGCATTAGATGTCGCAGCGTATCCACATACTGCGGCAGCACTTTAACCTGGCTCGTGTTGCGCCAATGCAGACCATTGTTGTCCACGTGAAAGAGTGCAGGTGAGGGTACATGATCCTTTAAATAATTCCAAATGCACTCCCGCAGCAGCACAGCAATCTGTAAAGTCGCAAAATAAGTCAAATCCTTACAAACGGCATGTTTATACATATATTCGAAGCTTACCTCCGGCGCTTCGAAGTGCTCAATAATCGTGTGCAGGTTGGAAAGAGGTGGCGGTATCAGCTGGCCTATGGCCAGCAATTGTAGCAGTTTCTTGGTGCACAGCATAAGCTCGTCGTTGGCGGATGTGGGCTGGAATTTATTGACTAAAAGAGAACAAAAATTATTAACTTAGACTTCAGTGGTAACGTCCAATTTCTTACCATTCTTGCCACGCCAGTGATGCAAACAGGTGGCGCACAGCGCACGCAGCAGCACTGAAGAGTAGCACAAGGCGGGCCTGTGAGTAGCTATCAAACCAAGCACTGCCCAAAGAACAGGCGAGGTTATAAAGGCACGACGTATTTGCATATCCCGTTCCATAGTGACGCGAGTAAACTCTTCATCGGGAAAAGGTAGTCCATTGTACATAACATCCGTCGAGACCAGTTCTACAAGCGTCAATGAGACCAGCGAGTATCCTTCAACATTGTTCGGCTTTTCCTAAAAGAAAACGTATCGTGTTAAGTCTTCTGGCACGTTTGCGAGAACGTTATGTATTACCATATCCATGCAGCACGCATTAAGCGCCTTTAGATATAGTGCTTGCTTTTCCGCATCGCAGCTTCTGTTATTAATGGGCAGCACAGGTCGCAGTCCCCGCCCAATGACGCCGGAATGCAGTACAGAGCGATTTGAGTTGGACCCAGAGCTTGTGTGCAGGTTTTGCACTATAAGCAGCTCATGTTCAGGTATTTTTAGCTCATCTAATTCGTACTCCTCTAGCTGACCAAGCAAATGGCCATGATAGAAAAGCGCACTCTCAACCAGCTCACGCAGGCAAACGGTGCGCGCAATTTTGCGGGCGGAGCATTGACGCTGCAGCAGCGCATAGGCTCGATGAGCTGCCGCGGCGCGACGGATGACAGCTGGCGTAATGAAATATAAATTAGTTGTTAAGCCAAGTGAAAAAATGAGTTTTTGGCTTACTCGTCTCGCTGAGGCCTACAAAGAAGTACTTCACGCTAAGAACAGCAAGTTTAAGCACCAGCGGTGTTCGCAGCACAGTGCAGCGTGTGCCAGCCTCGATGTTGTTTAGCAGCTCCACAATTAGATGCGCCAAACGCATGCGTGCTGCATCAGGTGTTTCGTCCGTCTGGGTCACTTCACCTTCTTCTAGTTTGGGACGCTTAACGGGACCATTGCCATTATACAAATCTTGCATTGTTTCGTGATTGTTGTTGTTGGCCTGCTGTTTTTTAAACTTCTCAGCGCTGAGCTCAGCAGCAACTTTATCCATTCGTAGCAATAGCTTTTGAATTGTGCAGTCGAGGATTTGTATAATCTTAGGCAGGCATTCGTTC